ACGTTATAGCCGACGCGCTCTTACGTCGGGAGTAGGATATACCTAAGAATTCTTCCGATATCCGAGAGTAGGGGAGGTATATCTAGATAATCTCCGATATAGCTATCTCCCCCCGGGTATACTTAATAAGGGTAACGTTATCGGAGCTAGCCACGGTCTTTGAAGTAGACCCCGACCTATAACGATTATAGGATAAAGCCAGGGCCACCGAGAAGCGTTATTAAGGTGCTTTTACCATAGTAGTAGCGGGAGAACAGAGTTTTCCCCCTAAGCTAAAGCTTAAAATATAGATCGCTGAGTATAGAATCGACTAAGGACGGCTAATATTTCGTGACCGCTTATAGGTGCTAGGAGATAACGAAGACGGGGCTAGCCACCCGTTATAAGGCCGTCTAGTATAAGCGATCCACGATTTAGTAGTCGGCGGATACCTAGGTAGGGATAATACTATTACCCTAATCGCCCGCTAATTCTTCTAGCCTAGTATAAATTAAAGATATTAGAAGATTCATACGGAATTACGATATATACTAAGCTAGCCACGTATAAAGGGGTGCGAAGAGAGGATTACTACGCCTACTCCCCGTGCTAGAGCGAATCTTCTACGATATCGTGATAGATTTTATAACGGACCTACTACCCACCCGCGAGGGTAAGTATAGATACTTATAGGTGATTACCGACTAACTCTCGAAATTAGTAATACTAGAAGTAATAGATACTATAGATACTAAGGCCTATACTAAACGGTTCTTACTATACTATTATAGGTTCTACGGAATACCGAAGTCTATTATTAGTAATAGGGGGTCGAACTAGACTAGCCGCTTTTAGAGATACTTCTATAAACTCGCGGGTATTAAATAGCGACTAAGCACCGTATACTACCCTTAGACAGACGGAGGTCCTAAACGTATTAACTAGGAGGTCTAAGCCTACTTACGAGTATATACCTATTACGCCTAAGACGATTAGAATACGCTGCTATTAGTAGCGTAGCTAGCTTTAAATAATAGGGTAAACTCGATAATCTAAATAAGCCTATTCTTCCTATAACACGGGTACTACGCGAACCCTCTCTAAGTTAATAAGACTATACTAACCGATAAGCGCGAGGCTTCCGCGCAGGACTTACTAAATCGCCTTAAGGAGGCCACCTAGTTCGCTTAAGCCGCGATAGCCGCTATATAACTACGTTAGGAGGAGTTAGTAAACCGTCGACGCTACCCTGCTAAGAGGTTCGAAAAGGATAACCTCGTATAGCTAGATATTGGTAACTACTCTTCGCTATAGCCCTTAAAGAAACTTACCTGGCTTTACTATAAATATAAAGTTATAAAGGTTATTAACTCCTACGTCGTAGAACTAGATATTCTTTTATAGATCCATAACCGTTTCTATATAGATCTTTTATATCGAGCCGACCACGACCCCCTATTAGGGTAAGCAATAATAGACCCCTAGCTACTACCTATCCGTGAAGGGCTGAATAGGGAGGAGGAATAGGTGGTAAAGGAACTCCTCTACGCTTATACCCGAAGGCGAGGTCGCGGTAGGGTCCGCGAGGTACTAATATAATAGGAAGGCTATATAGAACTAATATAGAAACTACTCGAAAGCCTATAGGAGATATAAGCGCTCGACGAATTCGAGAAGAAGTATATCCCGGTATAGTTAAATAACGGGCCTTTATAATAGTCCACGAAAGAGATATAGGCGCGAAAGAAGGCTAATACTGCGGCGAGGAGGATAAGAATCGAGAGCGAAGTTATATTAGGGGCGTACCCCCGCGCCACTTAACTTAGGAGTGGGAAAGACCGAGTAAAACCCTAAAAAGCTACCGAAATAACCTAAACGATATAAATAACTTACTCCCTCACGATCTCGCCCTCTTCTAGCTCCTCCTTTTATAAGGCTATACCGTCCTCGGCGGTACCTACTTACGACTCCTCCTAAGGAGGAGCTAAAGCGAGCGTAGCCTCGGGAGTAGCCCCCGGATTATTACCCGTAGTAAGGGGGGTTACGGCCACGTAGTGCTTATACACGTGGTGTATGGAGTAAAAGAGGTTACGAACCTCTTACGATATTATAGTAACGTCGTTATTCTTATCCTCTAGCTTTTACGATACTTCCTTAAGCGTTTTATCTATACTGCGTATAAAGGTAACGATATTATCGAGGGCTCGTATTATACTTACCTAGAACTCGGTAGTGGCGGATAAGGCGGCGGCGGGTAGCGGGGTGGCGGCGGTAGGCGGCGCGGCGGCGGGAACGGCGATAGGGGCGGTAACGGGAGCGGGAGCGGCGACGGGGGTAACGGCGACGGTAGGAGCGGGGGATTATAAGGGACTGGCGATATTCTTACCTAACTTAGCCTAGCCGAGGGCGACTTAGAAGCGGCCGTAAGTATCTTAGAATTAACGGCGATTCTATACGGAAGAATTAGCAAGAAGGCTATTAAGCGAAGGGTAGGGGTAAACTTATATCCTCGCTATTAGTATTCGCGTTTATAGAATAAGTAGTATTCTATAGGGTATTAGCGGCGTTATAGGCGGCGGGCGGGAGCTATATTACCCGTTAATCGTAGTTACCCCACGTATAATAGGTATATTTACCTCCGAATACTTATAAGTGTGGCATAAATACTCGTAACACTTAGCGTCGGCCCTAGCCGCGCTAGGGCCTGACTAGTAGTAATACTCGATACTATATTCTTACTTATATTACCGGGTAGCGTACTACGTGTAGGGGGTAAGTCGGCGGGGGCTTAGCGGGTTTTTAGGGGTATATCTTTTCTTAGCGGGAGGGGGGATTAGGGTCTACTCGTTATTAGTTACGGCCGACCTCGTAACCTATAGTAATAGGGGCCGCGAACTTATATCGTTATCACTATCGCCCTCGTAAGGGCGTTTACTAGGTAATACGAAATCGGATATCTACTAACGGTTAGCTATAGCACCGAACCACGAGTAAGGGGAGTGCTAACTCACTATAATAAGGATATAGGCGGCTTAAGAGATAAGCTATTACTCGGCGATATTAGTTATACTGCCACGGGACCTACGAGGTATCTCGGGGCTACTTATAGTATAGAAAAATTAATTAAAAAAAAAAGAGAAGGAGAAAAACTTACTTAAAAAGAAGCTATAGAAGGGGAAGAAAATAGGGAAAAACGAAGAATAGTGGGAGGTTTATTTTACTACCCTTCCTACGCCGTTTAGGTAGAAGGAATAACCCCCGGTTATATATTCGGCAGGTATATCGTTTATAACGAGTAAGCACGCCGGCGAGGAGCCTACGACGACACCGCTATACGAGAGCTCCTTTATGCTATTTTAGCCTTAAAAGGATCTTAGCTACTACGGATTACCTCCCTTCGAAGGAGCCTTTAAGGGAGCCGAATAAAGGAGGCTATTTTCAGATTCCACGCAGGGAGGCTAAAGTAATACGAGGTCACGACCGCACGACCACGACACGACCGCGACCTCGCCTCCGGCCGGGGGGGGGGGTATATTACGGGCTATAGCCCGCGGAATAATCCCCGGTAGTGGCCGGGACTAAGAAGCACGGACCTCCTAGCGAGGCCCGTGCGATTCTATACGTACTTAGCCGCCTACACACGGCGTAGACTTTTCCTTTCCTCCTTTCCTTCCTTAGTTCGAATAATCTATATTTTCGGCCTTAATACATACACAACTTTTGATAAGCCGTCACACCAATAGGTCGTTTAATAGAAGAAAGTCCTAATCGCCTGGATCTTAACCTAAGAGATAGTTAGCGATAGGCTAACTAAGGTACTTCCCCCGCAGAAATATAAGGCGTTTATATATCTATTAGGGATAGAGGACCTAAGCCAGGAGGCTTAAGGTAATTTATAAGAGGCGCGGTGCTAAGTTTATAATATATAGCCTAGATTAACCGTTATTTTAGTGCCCTTTAGATTATTATTTAGGCACCCGTTTTTAACGTGGTTTTAAGGTTAATTTAACTACCTGTTTTTACACCCTTTTAATGTTTTTAGGTATAAAAAGAGCGCGCTTTTTAATAAGCCGTTCTTTAACCGTTAGATTAATATCTAGGTTCTATTTTACCCTAGATTTACGGCTTTAATTAAGCAGAACAGTCAGGATTAATCCTGCAGTTCTAGTGGGGTATATCAGATACCACCACACACTTATCGGGGTGTGACTTACGCCATTTAGATACTCGGATAGAGTACTTCCGACCGATGTATCCATATCGATTTCCCCTCCTTTTACCTTATAGTTAGATATTTCCGCAGAGTATCTTTTACTCTTCTTCAATGCACACATATATCTTTTGCGTACCTTATTTATGTACTAACAGATATATATGCGTCGCATAAGAACACTTACAGAGCTACTACGTCAATAGTACGGCATCTGACCTTGTCATTTAAGGTACCTTATATTACTTGAAGCATCTGAAGTATCTGTACTTAATCCTACCCGCTAGGATGTCCTTGGATTTGCCCTACACGAGCCTCGGGGGTAGGTATAAGCCTCGGGGATGGGTATAGGCCTCGGGGATCAGGAAATAAGGGTGGACCCACGGTAAAACACTGGATAGGATCCAAATAGAGCAGTACTTCCGGAGGAGTACTGCCCTTATAAAAATAGGGCAAACGGTCTCGCACACGTTATAACTGGACATAATAGACACACGAGAAGATTTCCCCCAAGTCAGAAGAGTGCATTTTGTTCGACAAGACGGTCCCTTTATGATTCTCGGCTCCCGATATAACGTCCAATATGCATGTGTCAATCAGAAACCGACTCCCATGCCTGTCTATCGCTACAATGCTAAGGTTAGGGCCGAATCGTGTTCGGGGATGATCCATGATGTTCGCTTGCAGCGAACCTGGAATTGCGGGACGTGGGAAGGGAATACGAGAAACAACAAGCGCAGTTTTTGACTGCAGTAGCCACTGTAGCCGTACGAGGTAGAACAGGTAGACAGCATGGGAAGTGGGGTTTGCAACACCTATGACGATGCCGTGTCCTTGAAGTGAATCTATCGTGAGCACGATAAAAACCATCGCAGAAGCGATCGCATCCGAGTCTTCCCAAACCACGATCATGGCCATGGGGTACCATGTTCTTGTCAGGTGGCGGACATTCATTCAAGCTTTCTTCTGTATGTACGGAGAAGAAGCCGGGCCCCATTAATTAGACCTCGTTCCAGACGCGTCAAGTCACTTCAGTGTACACGTGTAGTGCGCAGTACGTGTATTCTTAGAATTCTTGGGTCGGGGTCTTTTCAGCGCGAGGTACGATCTTCTCCAGAGCCCCAGGGCGGGTTGGTCGTGGTTGGTTGTTTGGTTGGTTGCTTGGTTGAGATGGGCTGTAATAACTGGCAGCGACGGCGTCTGCCGAACAAAAACGAGATGAACCAAAACTCGCAGGTGGTCAGCATCCCCAGCACCACATTGGGTAACCACCCAAGACACGTTGTCTGTGAACTAAATCCGGGCATACTTCCGTTTCCGTCGAGGTGTTCATCTTCTGCGTGCTGGGCTCAAAAGCTGCGGGATGAGTTGGCGGGGTCCGCCGGTCAGCTGAGAAAGAACTTGGTCGAACGGTCGCTAACGGCATGATTTGTCACCTACCTACCTATGTATGGAGCAGTCTAAAGTTCAGTTCATCTGGCATCGACTGCACGTTATACGGAGTATCGTAGCATGGATTCATAGGTCCAAAGCCATCTTGTCCAGACAGGATAACCGCGTCTATTTTAGCTGGGACCGGTTGAGCCCCGGCCGAGGGACGAAGTCACTAAGGTAGTCTCGGGATGATGGTATCTAAGGTACCTAGGTACGGAGCATAGGTATCGGTTACATTTATAAGATATCCAAGGCGCGGGTCCGTCCCGCGACCAAATTAATAATTTCTTCCGGTAATTACCTTAGGTACAGCCCGGAAGCGGGTATTGTGGATTGTTGCGTGGTTACCTGCTACCTGGGATCGAGGCCGAACATAGGAATTCGTCGATAGGGATTCATTCCTTTGCAAATCTTTCCAATGAGTAGCGGTATCCCGCATACCCCCTTCTGGTCTTCCGCATAAGCGTATCCCATTTAGGATCCCCTGCCAAGTGTTTTCCTCGGCTAGGAAATTAGCGTCTATGCCTAAAGTCCCGGTACATCGTAAGATCGTGGACACGAAGACGTTAGTGTTATGAATTAACTAAGGCCGAGGATTCTTAATTAATTAAAATTGCCTTATATTACTGACTATTTACGAAACCTATGCCTTAACTATAACTACCACTGCTAATACTACTATCCGAAGTAACTAAACTGCTAGGGCTACGCCTGCTACGCCTACTATGCCTACTGCTATTAAATCCAAAGCTGACTGCCCGGCGCCTGTTAGTTTAAGGGTGGTGGCTTAAGAATTAAGGGTGGTGGCTTAAGAATCGATAGCAGAGGAGGATAGTATAACGGCTATTACTATATCGCTAGAGGTACTATCTAGGAAGCTAGCCACTATAATTAGCTAGGGGGGTACCTAAATGATACCTAAGACTACCCACGTATTAGCCTAGCTATAAAGTCGGTTATTACTATACGAGAAGTCTCTATAGTAATAGTAGTAGCCTCCTCTTAAGCGGTTTAGGTCTTTTTACGCGGCGGCTACCGTGGCTTATCCTGCTCGTGCTACGATAATATCCTACTACTTCGAGCCCTAGGGTTACGAGCCCTACCCCGTTATAAGGCGTGCTATAAAGCACCACCACGTTATATAGCAGGAGCGCGCCGTGTGGCAGGCTATATAGTAGTATTATCTTCGGTACTAGGGGGTAATAGTAGTAGTCGGTTATGATTCCGGGTTATCGGGAGAATAAGAGGGTCGAGGATTCGGGTCCTCTCACGGACTTTATAGATCTCGGGCTAGAAGAGGTGGGAAAACAGTTAGAAGATATAGATAAACAGAGTATCAGAGAACTTATATAGTTCTAATTAACCCACTAATAGGGATTAACGTTAGTACGTTTAAATAGCGCCCTCGTTTTCGTTAAAACGCTATAAATCTCGTGACGATAGGGCAGGCCGTATTATATACGGAAGCTCTTCGTGTAATATAGAAGCGTATTACCCTTACTAACTGCTTCCTATGTAGGAAGATACTACCGCTAAATAAGCTCGAGAGCCCTAATAGTAACCTCGAAAACTAAGTTAGTCGTGGCGGGTTAGTCTTTATACTTTTTTATATAGTAGATACTCGCCTTAGCTAAGTTAACCTTTAGCCGCTCTTCCTTTCGCTCTATTATTCGTTAAATCTATATTAAGAGCTAGTCGATATTAGACTAATAGTTACGGAGGCTTTTCTTTATGGCTCCGCGTACGTAGATTCTATTCGGCTTATAGCTCGGATACCGTAATTACGGAAGCGTTAAATAGCGTAATCGTAAAACTACTCTTACTAAGGCAGATAGGTCTTTTTAAGATAACTAATAAGACCTATTATAGTTAGTAACGGTTAAGTAAAAGGCTAGCCGCGACTTATTAGGCTATTCGACGCTAAATTACCTTTTTAAGGACCCTTATCGCTTATTAAATTCCTCCTCCGTTAACGCGTATACATAGGACCTCTAAGAAGATATAAACCTATTAAGCGTTTAATTATAAGACTAATCTAGTATCGAATTACCCGGATTTAGCGGTATTTAAGTAGTTTAAGTATTTTCGGCGTCTTCTATTAGAACGTCTCTAGGGGTACCGCCGGTAATAATATCTAAATTAATATATTAAAAGGCAGCTATGTTAATATCGTCCTCTTCTCGAGTATCGGCGTTATACTAGTTATCGGATTAATCTTCTATAGGTAATAAGTTAATAATAACTCTAACTAAGCTAACCGAAATAAGAAGGTAATAAAAATCCGACTAATTATAAGCTATAAAAATAGGAAAAATAATAATAAACGCGTTATAACTAAACCACTAAAAAGAATATTATAAACTTACCTCCAGAGCCGATAAGACTACTACCCTTAAGCGGCCTATCCTATTTCCTTCTAGTATTTATAAGGACGTTCTTTATAATCTACTAAATATAAATCTGCTATAGTATATATAGAAAACTATCGTTCCACGTACTTTTAAGGGCTTTTTCGAAGTCTATAATAATAATAGAGGGAAACGGGATAGTCTCCGCTAGGGTCACGGTCTTAATCTACTCGTAGAGTTATTTATACGCCTTATAGTTTTCCCTTAAAACTAGTGTAAAGTAGTAGTTAAAGGAATTATAGTCGGTAGCCACGCCTATAACCTTAAATAACGGTATATTAAACCTATCTACCTAGTTAAAAGAGGCTAAGGTTAGTCTTTTACTAATAATTATAGGCTTTTCGATATCTTTTTACTTATAGAATAGGTATAATCTATTATTAATAACTCCGGATTACGTTATTACTACTTAATATAAACCCGATAACTCTAGAATATTATATTAATCCGCCCGGTCTCCGCGTTAACGTTATATAATAAATAGTAAGCCCCCGATTCCCCTACCTATAGTTTTTCGAGGAAATACTATATTAGGGATAAGAGTCCGTACTTCTTCTCCTATAGCTACCGCTAATAGTTTCGGATATCCTAATCGCTAATTAAGAGCTTATTAGGTAGATCGGCTTCCACCTTTTACTATACTTACTTAGCGATTCTAAAGGCTATTAACTTACCTATCTCGGAGAGGCCCTTTACGATATCCTTAATCCTCGATATACTAACTACTTTTTAGGAATCTAGCCTCGTTATTATGGAGGCAGCTATAACTTTAGGAGGCGCGTGGTTATAGGTATCCTTTTCCGTGTTAGTGATAAATATCTAGTCGTCCTCGAGGAGTCTTATCTTAGTAAGCTAATAGTATCCGATTTTAACTATTTTACTACTTTTATAGATAGCTATTAATACGCGTGGATAGCCGCTATAGTTATATCTAAGGACTATATAATACACCTTACTATTTACGCGTTTATAGATTTATTTACGTATTACCCTATATCTTAGGCCGCGATAGTATACTTTTACGGCCTCGAGTAGGGCTTCGTGTATTAAAGCCCTTAAGGGCGTAGGCGGTTTCGGATAAGGGAAGGATATAGTAAGATTTTAAGGCTTAAGATTAATAAAAATATCTTGAAAATAGCAGCGAATTCGTACGTTAAAGTATCTAAGGTAAGTCGGGTAAAAACTCTTCGTCTTCTTCGTGTCCACGATCTTACGATATACCGGGACTTTAGGCATAAACGCTAATTTCCTAACTGAGGAAAACACTTAGCAGGGGATCCTAAATAGGATACGCTTATGCGGAAGACCAGAAGGGGGTATACGGGATACCGCTACTCCTTTCTAATGCCCCGCCTATCGGATAATTTAGTCTTAGAGAGACTCTTCTCTACGTTTATGAAGTATTTACCCACCTCGTAGAGCACCGGTGTTGTTCCGGAATACTTTACTTGACAACAACTCCCCCACGTGTACGTGCCTGATCCGTTTACGTACTCTATGACCCGGTGGTTCACCGGAAACTAGAATGTACAGATCGGAGTTTAATCCCACGCCGTCGAAGGGGAGAGAACGGGGAGGCGCTAAATTAAGACAAGCTAACGTGGTGGCTGACGAGCGAACTTCGAACCGCCTTGGGACTGGCCAATGGCCTCGGCTGGAGTTATTGCCTGTTAAGCCGCCTAAAATGAAAACATCAAAACCCCGAGTCGAAGGAGAAATAGCCGACTGTTCAGTCGGGCCAGGGTCAAGAAAGAAAGAGATATGGAGTGAGGTGAGCAGCCACTTACCTGTATGATCGTGTTTTCCAGGTGGATGTATTTCCCTTCTACGGATAAGGTAGATCAATGAATCCGGCCTGTCCCCAGAGCACAGGTTGCAAGTTGGGACTTGCTTATGACCAACACGGGCCTTCTTTTGCCGCCCCCTTTCTCTCTGCCCTATCCTTCGTTGTTTTCTTCGCCTATTATCAACCTCGTCTTTCTTTCTTTCAACCCACAACGTACTCTCCCCTTTATACCCCATCCATTAGCCTATCCACCCACCTATTCTAGGAGTACGAGAGGAATCAGGGGCCGGGTTTCTTTTGAACAACTCGCCATATCTTACTCCGTACGTGTCCCACCAGCCTCGAAAGCCCTCTCTTCCGTCCGTTCGTTCGCCGGCGTTCGCCACCCCTGTTTTTTTTTTTTTTTTGGTTGCTGTCGTCGTCGTCTTCGTCTTTCATCTACTGCCAAAAAATTCCCGACTGACCGATCGGCCGCCTTACCGTCCTCTGCTTTCCGTGCACCACAACCCTACAGCGTTCGTTTCTGCTGTTTCTTCATTGTTGCTTATTCTTAATTCCCCCTCTTTTTTTTTTCTTCTTCTTCTTTCATCCTCGCCTCTCTCGGCTTTCTTTTTATTGCTTCTTGGCCTTTTCTCATCTCCTGATTCGTCATCCTGTCATCGTCACGAAACGCCCACGCCTCAAATTCCGAGACTCATTGCTCGAACTCGACAACAACCCTGACAGAGACTTTCCGTGTGGTACATAATTCACGACATATCAATAATCTGTTAATATCTTAATCATCCCGAACAATCCGTTTTTTTCGAAGGTATGTTATGTTTCCCTGAGTCCGAGTCTTTTCTTTGCCCCTTCTCATACGCCCCGCCCCTTTGGAATCACCTCTTGTCCTCCCCCCTTCCCCCCCCAAAAGTTTCATCCCTCTCAGCCTCGAGGTTGTGCACCTCACGGGGCCCTCGCTCAGCGGATCCGAGACACTTGGTTCTTTGTCTGACCGAACGGTCGCTGTCATACCCATCGCACAGGCGGCCATAACCGTTGTCGAGGCCCCATCGGCCATCGCATATTGTGTGTGCATGAAGCCCCTTACTACTCCGTACACATCTGGAGGCACATCACATCTGACAAAGATTGACTGGCTGACCTTCCGGGGCTCTTTCAACAACCATAGCTCTTCACTGTCCCAATCCGTCGTGTCACCGAGCATACCCCGATCTCACTCGCTTGCTCCCGTCGCTATCGCACCAAACTGCAGCCGACCTCGTATTAGTATTGATCCTGCCGGCAACACCGACCCTCGACCGTTTTTACCATACCGGGCCAGGAGAGCAAAAGGGAGCGATTAAAAAAAAACCCAGACATTCTGTTATTGTCCAACTCGGTCAGGAAACAGAACTTTTGCGCTCTCTCGTCTTGAACAGCCCTCTCTAATCGGCCCAAGGCCGCCCTTCTTTCTACATGCCCAAATTCTCGGTCGGGTTTGGCAGGCGGAAATCGTCCGCCGCCGAGGAAGACTTACAGAATGCACAAACAACAGGGGAACCCTCCTTTAGAGTCTTGACAAGGACAGAGGTTGGTAACGGCAGGACGTTTGATGGCGGTGCGAAACTGGCCAAGGCGACGACCCTGCCTATCCATAGGCCGTCCCTGTCCCAGGCTTCGATGGAAGATAATATGTTCGCCGCCCTGAAGACCAACAGGTATGTTTTACCCAATTCTTTTTTTTTCTTTTTCCTTTTTTTCTCCTCCGCCATCCGTCTCCTTGGAAGTCGCCGTGGCTATGCTATGCATTCCTCTCGAAAATGTTCGATTCTTTTCTTTCATTTCCTGCCCTGCCGTCATGCTGTTGTCTCGGCCGTATCGTATTCCACCCCTGCCACCCATCTTGGCGAGGATCCTCTTATTCCTTGGCATTCCGCTACCTAAGCATTCTAGACTAACTCGGGCCTCAGGGGCAGTGGGTCGTCCAACACCACCAAAACAACTTCCACCGACACCTCATCACGCCACAGTCAGGCTTCTACTGCACCATCCTCCGCCGACATTGCCCATCAAGGAACACAGGAAGAATGGAAGGGCTCGAATAAAGCCGTTCATGGAAATATGACTGATCCCGTGCCTCCGAAACCATCGTCTCGGGGCTTTCTCGAAAGGGCCGGGAGGACGTTTTCCTTCGGCCAGAGAAAACACGCCCCCGTCGTGCCCTCCGTGGCAGACCACCCGCTCCCTTCTCCACCATCGACGGCGCGAGCTTCGACGCAGGATGGCGATTCAACCCGCCGCTCCCGGCGATTAACTTCGTCCACTTCCAGCACCGCCACGCCCCCGAAGCTAGATGTCGAGAATGACTTCTCCTTGGATATGGGGTCCGACTTTGGCCAAATGTTCGACGGCAAGTTCAAGAGGAATAGCGCCATGACCCTGAAGGCCGTTCCTCGCGACGGTGCATCCAAGGAACCGACCGCCCCCCAACCTCAATCCAAAACCCGGCCAACTCACCTTACTCCTGCTCCGATCCATATTGACCATGCTGCCCAAGTCGACCCTTCGCCGCGTTCGTGGAGCAGCCAGCACTCTAATGAACATCTATTGAACTCCAGGTCGAACCCTAGCTCGCCGCCTGCTCTCGACGGTCAACCTCTTCCCGTTCCTCGCCATGCTTCTCCCCTCAGCTTCTCCCCCAGCAGGCGGCCGTCGGACATCATCGAGGACGAGGACGTTGACCTTTTCAAAGATTCCCTAGCAGCAAGTCAATTGCTCGGCGGTTCGCAACAGCGCGAAAGGCCCGAGACACTGGCGCCACCGTCGTCGGGTGTAGCTCGGCGGAACGAGAACACTGGATCGACGGAAACGGACGACGGCATATTCGAGGGAGCCTTGGCCCAGTCCTCCCGCATCGCCAACCGCTTCGTCTCCCGAGCACCCAGCCCTCCTCGAAATAAGGTCATGACGCCCGCTCAATTCGAACGTTATCGCCAGGATATCGAGCGCAAGGGATCCGCGGCTGACACGGGCAACCTGTCAAGTGGGGGACGGAATGACGACGAGGAAGACGATTATGAGGACGACGACGATGAAATAGAGAAAGCCAAACAGGCAGCCAAGCAGAGAAGGAAGCAAGAGGCACACATGACAATCTATCGCCAGCAGATGATGAAGGTCACCGGCGAATCCTCCAGCTCACTGCCGTCCTCCCGCCCGGGCCTGCAGGCATCGTTGAGCTCGCCAAGTGTGTTGGCTCTCCCCGGCCAGACGGGAAGTGCATCTCCCAGGATCGTCGAGGACGGCGGAGACGAGGACGAAGAGATACCGCTCGCCATATTAGCCGCCCACGGGTTCCCGAACAGGAACAAGCCACCGAGTCGCCTGAGCATAATGGGATCTCACCCGGATTTGCGTTCCTCGATGCTTCACCCGCCCGCCCGACCCAGCTCGGGCCTCGGCAATGCCTCGGCCTCTCAAGCCGGAAACCGGGCTTCTCAGTTGCCCGCTTTCGCCAGACGGCTACCCCAAGACCCTTTCATCGGTGCCGGCTTGGTCAACGGGCCACCGCGCGAATCTATTAATTTCGCCGGCGGCTCGCCCCTCCCCAATGCCCAAGGTCCCCTCCCGCCCGGCGGCCTGGTTGGCGTCATCGCCAACGAAGAACGCTCGCGTGCCATGCGACGAGGCAGCCCCCAGGTTGATGCCCATGCCTTCAACTCGGCCATGGGCAACAGCTCAGCCTGGGACCCCGTCAACGGCATCCCTCCACACATGATGTATGGCGCGGGAGGCATGCCGCAAATGCCGCCCATGATGCTCTCGCCGGGGGATCAAGCACAGATTCAGATGACCCAGCAGATGCAGCAGTTTATGCAGATGCAGATGCAGTTCATGCAGATGATGACCGCCGGCGGCGCCAATCCGCCGATGGGCTTTCGTCCTATGAGTCAGATGCCAGTGCCCTCGATTCCAGACAACATGAGTTCGCAACGACAGGCCTTCTTGGATCCCATGTCCTTTGGCATGGAGCCGCAGCGCCCATCCCTCGACCCGCGCATGCGGACTATGAGCATGGTACAGCCCAGTTCTGAGTCCTGGATTCATCCCGGCCCTGTCAGCGGATATACTCCTTCCATTGCTCCTTCGGAACGCAGCAACGTGGGACTGCCGGGCCGCTACAGGCCCGTCTCACAGGCGCCCCAGCGGATCTCGCAAGACCAGGGTTCGGTCCGGGACTTCTCTGGCGCGCGCCGCGCGTCGACCATGCCCAACGTGCTGGATGGGTGGGATCAACCCACTATCAGGCCGGTGGGGAAGACCCCCTCACCTCCCTTGCCGCACTCGTCTGATTATCGAGGCAAGCCGAAGAACGATGACGACGATGATGACGAGAAGGGGTGGGAGGCCATGAAGGCGAAGCGGGAGAAGAAGCGGTCGCTGTGGAGGTCGAAGAAGATTATCGATCCCAATTTGGGTGCGTTGATTTCGTGAGGGAGCGACTAGTAGAGAAGGGCGCTCAGGAGAGGAGGAGAGAACTCGGCTCAACCACACCGCCTACCATATGCTGCCCCATACGAGAAGCAGTTTGATGCCCCAGAGGGCTTCTTTGCGTGAGGAGCGAAACTGCTTGACTGAGAAGAGAAACGAGACCCAGGCTTGATGTCCCGCTCAGTCTGTAGGCATGGGCAGAGTCGGTTCATATTGGGCGTCAATTTTCGAGGAACACGGGGGGTATCTGAGCAGGGAAGAGGATGGGTGTTCGCATATTAGCAAGTTATCATCGACCATTTATCTTTCATAATGCTTCCGAAATAATTCAAGAAAAGTTCAACAGATGTATCTATCGTTGAACATCCTTCTCCCAGTTCACTGCATCCGACGCATATTCCCGTTGAGAATTGGTCCTAGGCGCTTATGCAAGGCGACACATTCTTCGGGATGAAGTTCCGCTTCTTTTCGATCCCTCTGGTATGGCCAGGGTCCCTAGCTCAAAGATCGACCGTTCCGCCAAGCCGGACGCAGCGATGGACTGCGGACACACCGTTGGCAGTGTAGTGGCATCAGGCATCATTCTTCACAACATTTGACCCCAATTGTATTACATCTTTTTCTTTTCTTTTCTTTTCTTTTCTTTTCGTTTCGGGGGGTTTTTTTCTTCTTTTTTTTTGATCTACGCGCATCTCTACTCAATCCTGCCGGCCGCCCACGCATTCCGTTTCACGCCCAGCTCGACAGCCGCGAGACCCCAGTCCTCGCCGTGGTTGTGGCCCTTGATGCCGGCCCGCGCCTCGGCCTGCTCGTCGGTGAGCACGGTGAGGACGCCGAAGATGACGGGGACGCCGGTGTCGAGCTGGACGCGCATGAGGCCGTGCGAGACGGTGTCGGCGATGTACTCGAAGTGCATGGTCTCGCCCTTGATGAGGACGCCGATGGCGATGATGGCGTCGAAGGGACCGCCCGAGGCCTTGGTGTTGTCGGCGGCGGCGGAGAAGGCGGCTAGGTCGGCGGTGGAGGAGGCGAGGAGGTCGCCGGCGGATTCGGAACCGCCTTTGGAGTGTTGGATTTGGGAGGCGGCGAAGAGTCTGGGTTTTTTTTTGGTAAGTGGACGCGTTCCGAACGAGGTTGGAAGAAACGAAAATGGGGATAGCGAAGTGGGGGGAAGAGGGGCAGGGAGGGGTGAAAAGTGAGAAAGAGAGAGAGAATGGAATACCTCTGAACAGCGATTGGTAGCTCCCACGACCCCGGGACGGATTGTACCACGATATTCGACTCCTTGACGCCGCAGGCGAGGAGTTTATCTTTGGCGCCCGTGAGGAGGGGCTCGATGATGGTCGCGTTCCAGCGTGCGTGGACGATGCCGATGCGTAGGCCGCTGCCGTCGTGCTCCTGCGGGGTAGGACCTTTGATGGACATGATGAGAAAAGTCGCGTGGACGGGGCAGTGTCCTAATATCACGATCACGGATGGTTCAAGAGGTCGATGGATGGGAAGAGGCGTTGGAAAAGCGGATTGAGAAACACGCAATGGGTGGAATTCGTGATGGCTGCTAGGGAGGCCGGTAAGCCGGTTTCGTTTCGTACTCTGTCGCCTGTACCCACGTACGGAGGTACGCTGTAATACTTGATATTGACGTAGGTAATTAGCCGTACTCCGCACACCGTATTATGTCTCGCGGCGTTTGGCAGTGGACCCGCAAAAGTTTCCAGATACGTGCCTCTTCTACCCCGTCGCCTAACCTCTACCTTTATGTTTTGGTAAGTGGCCCTAACTAACTTCTAGGAATAACTATCCTTAGAAATCATTCAGGCCTTTGCAATAATACCCGAATTTCAATCCATTGATAGATGGGGCGCCCCGTTTAAGTGTATCATCATGCCGAAACTCCAAGTGATCAACTAGGGAACATAGACAACATCGCTCCCCGTATACCTTAGCTTTGCTTACTTACTGCTTACTGATTCATCCGAGGGTGCTAAGCAACCGACTGTATAGGTAGCTTTAGGGCTTTATGAAAATACAAAGCGGGGGAGTACGAGAGGAACGATAGTGAAAGGTTTATATGTAAAGGTAAAACGAACAATTCCACACCCATGCTTCTTAGGCACATCAATGGGAACACAACAGCACCATTGAACGCTTTACCGTTGACGAGGCACACAGAAATCATAGCAACAGGGAGTCTGCATTGCAAGCAGTCTACTAGTCTATGTAGTTGCAGAGGAGCAAACCTAAGTATACAAGTATACCCAGTGAACCCCCGACTCAGCATGTCAGAGTCATTGCCTGTGGGCCAGAGAACCATGGGGGATCAGTACATGTACTTATGGACATCAAATACCAACGCGTTCCCTGTCCGCCCCATTCGTTGCCTCTCATCTACTTCAGTAGCTTCTCCTTGCATTCGATTCTGCCGTCTGTCAGTAAGTTTCATCTGAAGAGCCTAGCGAGGAAGACTGACCCATGGTTATCCTTCAGCTCCTTCATCAGGGGATTGTTGAGGCTAGGATGCATCGGCGCGAGGATGCCTCTCTCTGAAATTGTGCCATTGAGGACTTGCTTGACAGCTGTTTGATACACCAGGTTAACACCTCTTGTTGCCGGAGCCATTCATTCAAACAGAAGACCGTCTTAAGAGAGGGGGGGGGAGGGAAGACTTGCCTACTCCGCAAGGAACGCCAACAAGCTTCGCCATCGCTGTGTAACCGCCGGATCCAACGGGAGCGCCGTATTCGCAGAGAGTAGAAGTCAAGACATCCCTGCTACCGTCCTTGTTCTCGATCTCGAAATAATGTTGGAGGAACTAAAGGCCAGGGGGTGTTGAGCATTGTACATTCTTGGAAATCGCGAGAGTGTAGAGGTTATACATACCACCAAATCACGCTCGCTCTCCTCGTAAGCCATCTTTTGCTCAAGAGTAGCACACAGCGTGTCCAACGGGTTCCCTCTTGGTGTGATCTTGGTGTCCGAAAAGAGACCGACTATACCGCAAACGTCAGAAACCTTTTGGAATAGGACGGCTAGAGTCCAGTCAACTTACGCCACTTGAGACCCGACACCAACTGGTTCTTTTCGTCCTCGCTCTTGAATGCTGTCTTGGATGAAACGGCCGCCACCAGATCACTCTCATTCGGTGAGCTGGCGCCGATGATCTGCTTCGTGGCTTCCTTCCAAGCGATCGGCTCCTTCAGGAAGTCCTGCTCCTCGTCACGAAGGAAGCCGATGTCAACGAGAACCTTGACGAACTCTGGGAAGCCAGCATAACGGAGGGTGCCACGGATCACTGTCTGCGCCTCGGGGATGTGGTACCTGCAAAATAATCAGCCATGGAATGTGCGGCGCATACAGGTCCATGGTCTTACCGTTCTAGATAGCCACTGCTATCACGGTTTCCATAGGCGACGAAGTTGAAACCCAGAAAGCCGGTGGGATACGGCTTCGCAGTGCCCATGAGGTCCTCGCCCTTCACGTCCACCACTTGGCCGTTCTCCACGTACCTCGCGTTGTTCTTCAACGCCAACAGAACGCCACGGCTACTCCAGCTGAACTTGTACCCTGAATAAACGGTCAGCGTCCGCAGGGCATATATATGGTTAGTAGCCGCAGGAGTATGTCGGTCAGAATTTACCTAGCGGGTTATCCGAGTCTAACAGGACAATTAGCTTCAAGTATACGTCATCGTTATCCGAGTCACCTACTCTCTGGTGCGGGCAAACCGCCGCAAAAGCTCTTGAAGACGCGGATAGAGCCTCCTGCCTTGTGGACGCGATCGATCACATCTACGGCGTACAGGTGGTCGATACTGGGGGTTGGGTGAATCAATAGAAGGATAGGATGGGGCACTATGGTGAGAAGGCATACCCAGGATCAAGCTAAGATGGTCAGCAAAGCCAAACGTACAGTGCTAGAGTATTTTCTCGACTTACCCCGATCTCGTTCATAACCGTAATACCAGCGGCCTTGGCCTCCTCGTCGAGAGCCTGCATCGCCGGCGACACGTACGACGTAGTAACGACATGCTTCTTCGCCTTGATAGCCGCCTTTATCACGGTAGCATGGTGTATGTAGGGGATCAGCGAGATTGTGACGTCGTGTCGGGCGACTGCCTCCTCGAGAGCGGTCGTATCATTCACGTCGAGGCTGATGGCCTTGGTGTTGGGAAAGTTGCCGGCAAGCTTCTGGGCCGAGGCCAGGGTACGGCAGGCAACGGTCTGGTGAATGCCGGCATTGGCGAGGAATTCAACGGTAGGCGCGGCGACGAAGCCGGAGCCGAGGAGGAGGGCGGATTGCGGCATTGTTGTTGTGAGGGACGCTCTACTTTGAGGATAGTATACAGAGTAGAGGTTAAACTGGTGCGGTTATAGGAGGGGTAACGTTGAGAGGTCCAAAAAAAAAAAAGTCAATTCAATGAGAATAAGGTACGGTACTCGTCTGAGCTGCCCCGCATTGTCAGGCGCCGCACACCCTACTAGTGTAGATGACTCATTCATCCGATGTCGGGACTGGAAGATGTACGAAGTACGGGTGCGCAAATCAATAACAAGAAGAACAAAGCCGTCACTGCGATTACGGATACTTATAAGGCCTGTCTTGGGTACTGCAGTGGTTAGAAACCTCGGGCTCAGGAGATTCGCACTTGACGAGATTTGCTTGTCTGCGCCCTTCGAACATCCTCATCCCGTAAACTTTTGCAGCCATAAATATTCTTTCTTTTCCCCGCTGTGGAGGCCCGCACTTTCATTCGTGCTCAAAGACCCTGCCGGCGCCGGCTCCGGCGCATTTCACTCCAGCGAGTCCAGCCATTGTTCGTTTTTCAACCTTGGCAGGGTCCATCGAGAGACAACAACGTCTGCTGCATTGAATTTGGAGCTCCTCAGCGAAAATCCGGCGCCTGTCATTTCATATCCTTTCCTACTAGTGATAATGGAATTTCTCGATATGCTTCGTCGAGAAGGGGCACCAGTGCAGTAATACCTAAGGTACCACCAAGCTCCGCAAAGGTAAGGTACCCCGGTTGGCGGGGTTGTTTGGGATAACGTCATACTGTGCGAGGTGTGACCTGTGCTACCGCGTATACTGTGGTGCTCCGAACGACATCGGCGGCGGGCCGATTGACGGGTCAAGGTAATTACGACCCTCCTACAGAGTAAACTGAACGGATGTTGGAGCCTCACCGTTCCAATCTCATTCTTACAAGCTTGCGTCCGTAGACCGGGTTTCGCTTCATCTGCTCGAATCTCTCTGATGAAGTTTCCTCAAAGTGGCAATCTTGACTGGACTCTGGCCTGCTATAACCTCGCAGCTATTTGACGCCATCTCTCCGCCATATACCCAGTCGACTTCTCGATATCACTTCTTCATACTCAACAGCCAATTACTCCCTCGCTCTATTGCAATTTCTCGCCCCATTCCGAATCTCGGCTCGAAAACACCAGTGACCTGCTCCGCTTCGACCCGTCAATTGTCTCCGTTTTCCCACGTAGATATTCGACAAGCCGCCATAGACTGATGTCAGTTTCCTTCCTCTTCATCAGCAATGTCGATATCTCAGCTGCCTCCTTCAACTGTTCGGCGACTAGGAGCTAGTGCTCTCATTGTATCACCTGAGTCTGTCGTCAAGGAGCTCATCGACAACTCTCTTGACGCTGAGGCAACTTGTCTCGAGATCCTTCTTTCTGCTAACACCGTCGACAAATTTCTTGTCCGAGACAATGGCCATGGCATAAGCCCGAGCGATTTCCATGCCGTGGGACGTTGGTCGCACACCAGTAAGCTCAGGAGCTTTGACGAACTGACGTCCAAGGGAGGCAAAACCCTGGGCTTCAGAGGGAACGCCCTAGCAAGTGCTAGCGAAATTTCCAGCGTCACCATCACGACCAGGACATGCAAGGATGCTGTTGCTACTGTTCTATCACTCAAGCCCGGCCAGAAGTCTGGTGGGATTGTCAGCCAAAAGCCCGTATCATCTCCTGTGGGAACAACGGTTGAAGTGGCCGATTTGCACAGTACGTTCCCGTTCCGCCGGAAAGAACACGTCAAAAAGGCGCAGAAGACTCTCAACAACATAAAATCATTGCTGCAAACCTACGCCATGACGAGGCCTGAAATCAGGTTCACCTACAAAATTCTTGGCCAGAGCCATTCTGCTTGGTCGTACGCTCCTCCGAATCATGCGGATGCCAGGACAGCAGCGCTCCAGATTTTCGGGGTTGGTTTGGTCTCTCAATGCGTCTAGAGAACGCAGTCGAGTGTAGCGTCCAGCCCAGTGAACAGTAATCTCGCGGCACATGCGGAAGAGGACATGGCGATTCAGGCCTTCATGTCGAAACCGGATGCGGATCCAGTTAAAGTTTCTGGTAAAGGAGCTTACATCTCTGTTGACGGTCGACCCGTCAGTCCAAATCGCGGGTTGATGAAGAAACTAATGGCGATTTATAAGAACCACTTACAAAGTAGCACCATGGCAGGGCGTTCAGTTGCAAATCCTTTCATCCAGCTGAGTATACGCTGCTGCACCGGAAGTTACGATCCTAATGTGACGCCGTCAAAAGATGAAGTCCTTTTTTCTGATGGAGAGAGGCTCCAGCGAGCCTTCGGAGACATGTGCCAAGGGCTATATACGGCTCATTGCGAACAGTCGAGTAATCCAGCTAATGCACTATTGCCGACCGTCTCGAGCAGCTCCAGATTCACTTTACGTCCCGGCATGCACAGTGACGGGCTGTTTCGAGAAGAACCCGGAAACCAAGAGGGTGCAGAGAAAAGTCGGCCCTTACCCATTACACCCCCCTCGAATAACCGTGAGCGTAGGAAGGAGGACGGCAGCAAGAGAGACGTTCGAAAGAGTTGTAGTCCAGCAACACCACCCCAACGCCACCCGTTGACGAGGAGTGATCAGTTTCCAGAAACACAAGAGAGCCAACCACAACATCATGCCAAAGGTACAACGTCGAGCGCGGGAACGACCGATCATGACACCCAGGAGCAACGCATAAAGCTACGACCTTGCACAGTGAACATGGCCAGGACGCGTTCTCTGAGCAGTGAGGGCGCTGCTGTCTACGTCTCTCTGAACTCCTGGCCAGGTGACGACGATGTGACGCCAATGGCTAAAATATCTCAACCAGCAGATGTCAATCTCTGGTCCATTGCCAAGTTGGCAGCAACAAATCCGATGCCGGTAAGGCCAGTACGCGAAGGCAGCAGCAGCCCGTTACCCAATCCACATGGAGTGAGGCGCTATGCCCGTGACGAAGAGACTAGAGGAGCTGGAAGACATGGAAATGCCAAGTCCTTGGAGATATCGAGTTCCCCTTCCCAGGGCCCTCGTGTCTACCTCAAAAATTCTCGGCAACTGCCCATGCCGACAACTCGCAACGAATTTGACAGTTGTGGCCATGATGAGACTCCTATTGTCCAAGGTCCGCCAACCACAGTGATTCTCGGAGCACAAGATGGACGGTCCCTTCAAGAGGGGTGCCATCGGATGGATGGCTATGCTCTGCACCACCGGGTCCTCGAGGATGCTTCCGAAGCAGCTAGCCCCGGATTGATGGCTCTCGCCAACAACGCAGCGGCCGCTTCAAAGACATCACAAGGAATAGTTCCCACGGACGCCGAGTTCATATATCACACACCCCCGCCGTCTGCTGGCCGAAAAAGGCCAACCGTACAAGGCCATAATCCACCGTACCGTATGCCCGCTCGCACCAATTCAAAACGCCCGCTCCCACATAAAGACTCCACTGCTCGCAAACCACGCAAAAGCTCAAAGCCTGCTGTAGATGTATCGCCTCGCGATGCGGAGTCCGTCGAAGGCCTTGGGGGGCTGGTGACGCCCCGAGATATACGGAGCACAGACTGGCCGCTGCCAAGTCGTCGGTCTCTCGAGAGACAAGAAGAGGCCCAGTTCCATCCAATTTTGCGAGCTGCTCCACTGCCGTTCTCGCTTCACTCAGACACCGGCAAGGGACAGGGGAGTGAACAGTCTCCGAATCGTTCGTTCAGCAGCACCATGGGAGAAGACGACCCCTGGAGATATCTGATCAAACGACAACGGTCCGTGGTGAGATCAGGGGACACACTTCCCAAAAGGCTCAAGTCCAGCTGGCTTCCCCTGGAAAACATCACAGACGGAGCCCTGTCTCTGCAGAGGAATTCTCGCGCTATTGACGTTGCTATGTTGGAGCCACTAATCGAGATGCTGGCGTCGTACGAGACGTATGTTACATATGGCAACATGGAACCAGGGCTTCCGACCAGGCCGTGGGAACTGGTGGACGTGGACCGTAAGCTGCGGAAAGCTACGGCATCTTGGGCACACGAGACATTCGGGGTTACATCGGGGTTGGAGTTCAAGCTGGGTGCACAGATGAAAGGGAAGGGGAAGGATGTCATGTTTGGTGATGACGACCTGCCTAGTGCGGTTCATGTTGGACTTGGGCAGGGGAGCTTTGGTCGACAGCTATAGTGCTCAAGTCCCCATAGTTTTACGTCTTAGGACAGGTCGCTATGTTGGGTAAGTATTCGTAAGAGTGGAAGGTTCGAACTTGCAGTAGCGATGCAGGTCAGACGTCTACTGGGTGTCGGAGATGAAGGTTGCGTTTGAGGGCGACTCGCGGACAGCCCTGATGGGGCAGGCGATGCAGACCATGTATCTACATCGGGTTCATTCCGTGTGTCATGTTCGATTCAGAGAAAGTTTGTTATGATAAAGGGAGAAGGCGTACGGACACATGGGGCTACCTTACCTACTGCCTACAAATAGCAAATAATAGCTGGCGATCGGTGATCCCGATGGGAAGGGGAACCAGGCGCGGTCAGATCGTGTTATTAATAAGGATTGACCTGGCTTACACGCACTACCTACACCTGGCACGACCAATCAAACAGACCGTCTACTTGTACTTGGTACGAGTATTCCGTGGTCGACTAGGTAGTCGTTGGTTTCCATGTTCTTAAAATAGAAAAAATCAGCAACTATAATGCTCTGCGAGACATGCGACGAAAACTAGAAGCACTCTCTCGTATCGAGGAGAAACCCAAGAGGGTTGGCTACTAGAGATGCACTAGGGATGGACGGATACTCTAGCCGTAGTGAAAGTGGAAGCCATCCACCTGAAAGAGGACGAGGTACGTGCACGGAGAGTTGTCGATGGCCAGGAGTATGAACAGATGAAGGGATTTTTTTCTGTTTGGGTAGGGGGGGGGGGAACTAATTACGTCGCATTTTATTACTATTATTATTATGATTTCTCTCTACCTTGCGTGTAACAGACAGTCCGTTTGCTCACTTACACTTTTCCCAGAGCTTAAAGACTCGCCCTGTCCTTCCATTTATGCCAGTGGGATTGAAGCTACGAGCCCTGAGAACTTTTATAATTACCTTAGATACCTCGAATGATGGATTCGTCACGATATGCTCTGTTTCTTGGGCAGTGCTGCCAAGCCAATATGCCACTTATAAAATGATAAGCAACAATAAGGCGAAGCAGTTCAGTTCTGTACCTACGAAGAGCGATGGATGGGTGATGCTGGTGCTGATCCGTCCAACTTCGTAAAACCGGGGTGAAACGTCATCACAGACGAAGGATGGGCCAATCGCAGGGCGCATATCCCAGACGCTACCTGAAGAACAGAGCACAGCCTCTTCAGGTCGACCAAACGACGCTGGTGGAGTGACTTCGCGAAGTGTTGGGTATTATCATCTTGGCATTCAACGACATCCGACGTGAAGATTGAAGATCGTTGGAGAACCGTGTGAATTCTGGCTGCTTGGTGTCCGTAGATGGACGCAGAAAACGCATTTGCTCTTATTATCGGCTACGATTTAAGCAAACTTGGGGTCTAGTCAGGACATGACTTTCAAGTGCGTCTCTGTTATCCTCGGTTTGAATGTACATAAGATAAGGTACCTAGGTACACTGAAGGTGGGTGAGTGGGCTGGGGATGACATATATGCAGCTGCATCTACTTCTTTGCACTGGAAATGGTGGGCTGTTTCGCTGAATGGAGAGTATCTCAGTGTATATCTGCCCAAACAGAAGTACCTTAGATATCCGATAAGTCACGGTCTACGTCCCTGATAAGAAATTTGTTCCCTCAAGGTAAGGTACCTTAGGTACCTGAGGTAAGGTTATTTTGTACAAAAGTATCCATTGGTCTGCATCCCCTGTCACGCCTCGACAACCGGGCGTCAGCAACTCCCTACCAATCTTCTTCCCTCGTTCGTCACATCCCGATTCCTCCCTCTATCCTTTTTTTTTTTTTTTTTTTTTTTAGTTCTTCTCCTCCATCCAGCATCCCTTCGCTTGGCTCATCTTCTAATTACCTAGACAGGAGCTTACGGGACCCATCGTCCCTTACCCACCTAACCCCAATCGTTCCTCGACAGTCGGGAGTTCGAATTGCGAAACCATCTGAAAGATGCCGATGCCTTAAGCAAAGACCCGGACGCGTGCGTGGTCTCCCGATTCCGACGAAACAAGAAACGCAACCGCCGCACCCAAACTCGTCAAATATGCAGAGATGCGAACAAACAATACATCCCAGGCCCGGCCAGTCCTGCCCATCACCCCCAGGGCTCCTTCGACCTATGCTGCGTTCGACCGTTCCGAACATGGGAAACCCCGTCCTGTGTCGTCCTCGTCCTCCTCATTCCCATCTCCACCACCAGCATCGCCTTGGCTTCCCTCGACTTCCCCCCGTAACTCCACGGGTCGTCGAGATCGAAGGCGCGTCCTTCCCCGTGTCATGACCTCTAACCGTCCCCATTTATTCTCACGGCTGTCGTCTCCCGCTTTCGCTGCTTGGCTCATCCTCGTCATCGCCTGCTTCTACTACCAGCCCGCCGCCGCCGTCCGGATACCGTTCGACAACTGCCTTCCCGACTCATACAGACTGAACGAGCCCTTACCCCTGCAGTGGGAACCTTTGTATGCCGATGCTCATTTCGACACGGAAACGGGCAACCACAATCTCCAAGTCATCTTCTGGGGAAACGTATCTGGTTCCCATTTCGACGTCACGCTGCCCCCGCCAGGCGACCCCCACTGGAATGACCCGGAAGAGCACGATGGCAAGATCGTCCGCATCCCCCAGGTGCAAGACCCGAGCGTCACTACTCTCGTCACCAATGTCAACGTCCTCACCTACCGGGACTATAGGGATCATGCCGATTTTTGCCGCAACAAACTCGTCAACGCCTCGTGTCCCGTGGCTCCTGTCTTTGACCCTAATGTGTGAGTACCGTCTTACAATCCGGGGCTAAGCCGATGTTTTCCTTGCGCGTAGCGCCCCTAACGTTAACCGTCGTCATAAGTCCGTTCCATGAACTGCCCTCCTTCAACATGAGCCACGACTTTCTCTCCTCTTACGCCTTCACATCGTTTTCCGTCACCTTTCTAGTAATCTTCGGCGATTCCCGCGCCACCAATATCGGATGTGCTTCTTCTACCGTCACCCCAGATCTCGGCGACTTGGCCGGCCTGGTTCGATGGCTTCCCCTCGTTATCCTGGGCCTCGTCGGCTTTGCCACGGTCTTTGCCGGTATATACAGCCCATGGGGCACTACCGACATATTCCGCTGGACCTCCAATTTTGGTCGCGATGAAGACTTGCTGCGTCTTGTGACGCCCGGCTTCGGTGACTGCTTGCAGTACATACAGTTTGTGGCGCTGACCGGCGCACTGACCCTACACTACCCCGGGTTTTACCAACCCATTGTCAGCCAGGTTGGCTGGTCTGCTCTCATGTTTAATGAGAGCATTGTGAGCCACACCCCCGGGTGGCAGGCCGTCCAAGACGGCATCTACGTGACCGATGGCATCTATGGGCTGCAGCGCTACGCCCAGCTCGTCGGCATGGCCGACGTAGGGGACATATGGGCGGGCATGATGGTTTGGCTTCTCGTTATCATCGGCGCCGTTCTCGTGCTCACCCAATTGGGGTTTCTTCTCCGCTGGCTATATCGACAGATCAGCAGCACCGCCGAAGAAGATCTCCGCGCCAAGAACATGCCTTTCTCCGTGGGTAATATCGTGCGAATTGTCTTCAACTACCTCCTCCTCCCCATTGTAGCCCTCTCCACTTTCCAGTTTGTTGTGGCTGGCGACTCGCCCGCCTTCGCCGTTGGCCTGGCCGCTGTCACGCTGGCTATCTTCATCGGCTTTGCGGGGTGGCTTCTCTATCTGATCATTAGGACGAGGCCGAGAGCCGTTATCTTCGACGACTTGCCGACTGTGCTACTCTACGGCCCCTTGTACAACACCTACTCGGACGAAGCGGCGGCCTTCGCCTTAGTTCCCCTTCTTCTAACCTTTGTCCGAGGCATCGCCATTGGCGCCGTCCAGCCGGTTGGCATTGCACAGATTGTCCTGCTAGCTATCTGCGAGATCATTCATGTTCTGGCGCTGCATGCGATTCGTCCGTTCCACTCTCCCACGTCCATGAACGCGTATCATACCCTCTTCTGTGCTGTACGGTTCATCACCGTCATGCTCATGGTCGCCTTCATCCCGGATTTGGGCGTCACCGAAGGCACGAAAGGTTGGGTTGGGTACACCATCTTGGTCATCCATGCAGGCGTCCTGGTCTTGGGGTTCTTCCTGAATGCCTTGCAGAGAATTGTAGAGGTGGCAGCGCGACTTCTCGGGGCCGGGGGCGAGGACGGTCTCGCTCGGGGAGGGCTGGCCAGGATCTTCGGGATGCGCCAGTTACAACGACGCATGTCACGGCGGAATGGCCCCTCACGTCAAAGTCAACTCTCAAGCACCGCCATGCTGGGCGCCGACGATGCGTCGAAGTCCGGGTACGCTATGCCCGGCGGGCGAGTCCGGAGCGAGTCTGCGGGCAGCGGGTTTCTATTAAAACACCACCAGAGGAATTCGTCTGCTCTCGATAGCATTGACGCTGGCTCTGCGATGCCCAGAGGCTTGGACAGCGGCAGCATGTTCACCCCGACCACGCCCGCCCAGGCTAGCACATTTTCTTTCTTGCCGTCGCCGGGAGGTGCTACTCGTCCTCAGCCGGCGGTCATTACGATGGAAACGGCTGATCCTTACTACCGGCCGCCGCGCCGCCGAGGGGACACCCTTACCGGGTCTCTCATGTCTGACAGACGCCCAGTCTCCACCAGCGATTCTCGACGGTACAGTCAGCCCGGTCCGGTCCGTGCGGATAGTCCCGACGCCGAAGGACCGCAGATTGAGAGAGGGTCCACGCCCGCCCCCATTCCCATCCATCTAGTGCCTCGGGCGGACTATTCGACTCGTGAAGTCGATTTCTATTACGGGGTCCGAGGTCCGGCGTTGAACTCGGAAGGTCCAGGTCGCAAGCTTGGCACGGGCCCGGCGGATCCGACAGGCCCTATGGCGTCGGCCGCTGGCTGGTTCAGGAATATGTTCATCGGCAAGAGCAAGGAGAAGGGCAAAGGCTTCGAGGTGGTACGGAGTGCGAGAATGCCGCCAGCCATGCGTACGGCGGGCGGTGGCTTTGGTCACGAGACACCTCCCGAGGGCATACATGTCGCCATGGGTGTCTTGAGAAATGGACCCATCGACTCGGATGACGAAGAGCCGAGGCGCAAAGCTTCGGAACCCCAGGCTGAGGACTTGTTAACGGGCGATGGGAACCAGCGAGGCTTAGGATCTCGGAATGACGAGGCATCCAAGGCATCCAGGTTGCCCCCGACTCTACCGACTTTGGATTGTGGTGAGGGCTTCAAGCTACGCAGTGAGAATTCTTCAGGGGGCGATGGGGACGCGGCACGGGCAGAAGGGCAAGCACGTAACAGACTTGGCCTTGACCCCCCAGACATACCCAGGAAGAGCTCCAAGCGGCACTCTGGAGCCGACTTCGATACACCAGAGACCGCCGCAACAATGTCTGGCCAGATACACCGCCTACCTTTCGACCGAAGCCATTCCCAAAAACGCCTGTCGTCCAAATCATCAATGGAGATACTGGACGACTTCAGCCAAGTGGACTTGGGCGGTCGCCTGTCCGAGGAGCGACCGACGAGCTTTGGCTACGTTCCGCACCACAGTATCAGTCGTGTGGACCCGGGACAAAATGGTCAGATCGACCTGCTCGGCGCCATGGCGGAGGTTGTTGATGAGAGGGGATTGTCGACGCGAACTTCACGCGAGACCAGGACCTCATGAGCCTCTGTTCCCCCGCTTCACCACTTTCACCGGCCTTTACTCCAACTCGCATTTCATTAAAGCTATTATGCATTTGCATGCCCTCTGTCCATGGGCTATTCATATTCTATATGTACACGATCTATAGAACCCAGATATTTATTGGTGATTCCAATTCCGTTGATGCGTATGAGGCGGGATAGGGCCCTTGGCTAGGGGATATTTTGCTTAACGTTGCAAATCGGTTATTTTGTATTCAGCGTCGGCGTAAAAAAAGAAGAAGAAGAAAAGCAGAGGTTGGGCCGAGATCTTAATCTTTTGAATGGTCGGTAATTATAACCAAATTTCAGTCAGTATCCAGATAATACTTGGCACTCATGTCCGTTGTGTTCGAACTGGGCCATGTCGGACGAGTCGTCGGCGGCTTTGATGACGGTAATTGAGATCAAAACAGATGATCTACACTGGTAACTGCCAACGGTTGGTCATTAAGGGGATAGGAACCTCTTAATCAACGACTATGGCACTGAGATAATGGTCTGTCCAAATATCTAAGGTACCTTACGGTAGTGTAACATGGTCTCGGCGCAACTACTGCTGTACGTACATCTGACTTGTTCCGGGTGAGTTCAATAACCCGGAAGAGCAGTGTGTGTAGACATCAAGACGAAGTACCGCAAGCATCATCACGGCAGTCAGGCAGCGTGAGGTTGTTTGTGACTACCTAAGGTAGGTACCTTACCTAGCCTATGTACAGGTACCGAGTACCTCCGTATACCTCCGTATTATCGGTGCCGTAAAGGACTCGTCCCGGCCGGAACCGTAGAGATCTCGATGCACCACTACTGATGCAACCATGTCTACTGAGCCTTCTTAATTTAGCCTCTCGTACTTGACCGTGATCTTGGTGTCTGAGGTTTTCAATATCCTTAATTCACTTTGGAATATCACCTAACAGCCGAAATACAGCGTGGTCACTTACGGAGTCCTACGGAGTACAACCGTTTTGTGTGCGGTTGCCCCACCATCACTTTGGTGCCTTATCGATACACTTTCCTATCGATAAGGTTACGATAAGTTTTTTTCTCCCTCCCGTCTGTAAGGCAGTACTACTAGTACTAGATATTTCCGTATAAGGTGCCTTGGGAATAGCGCTTAATGATTAGCGATCGTTCTTTCGGTCAGTGAGATAGCTAGGACGCCTTTCTCCTTGTCGCCAAGAGACAGCGATCGATGTGCAGCCAGAGGTTTCACTGGTGAATTTCAGTTTGCGTTTTTGGTGCTTGGCATCGCATCAAAATGGCACCAACCCGGCCGAACAAGAAGTCAAAGAAGCGAAACGAAAATCAGACCGCCAGTCCACGGGCCCTCCTCGAACTCGCTGCGGCCCAGCTAGAGCAAGGCGACTTGGAGACGGCACTTTCAGCAGCCCAAAACGCGCTCGAGGCGACCGGCGAGGGCGGCGACTTCGAACTCCGAGCTCTCGACCTTCTCGGCCACATCTACGTCGAAGTCGGCGAAATCGAAGATGCCCGCGCATGCTTCACCCGCGCCGTCCACCTCGACCCGGACGGCACCCTCGACGAGAAAATAGGCGGCGGGCCGGAAAAGTTCCTCTGGCTGGCCCAGCTGAGCGAAGACGGCGGCCAGGACAGTGTGCGGTGGTTCGAGCGCGGGGCGTCGGCGCTGCGGAGCCAGATCCAGGTCCTCGCCGACTTGCCGAAGCGCACCGCTGAGCAGGAGGCCCTGCTGGAGGAGAAGAAGCGCAAGCTCGCGGGCACGCTGTGCGGCGTGGCCGAGGTGTACATGACCGACCTCTCGTGGGAGGCCGACGCGGAGCAGCGGTGCGAGGCGCTCGTGACGGAGGCGACGCTGGTGGCGCCGGGGCTGGCCGAGTCGTGGCAGACGGTCGCCAACGTGCGCATCTCGCAGGCGAGGGTGGAGGATGCCCGGGCGGCGCTGACGCGGAGCATGGAGATTTGGGCGGGGCTGCCTACGACGCACCCTGACGTTCCCGATTTCCCTGCGCGGGTCAGCCTGACGCGGTTGCTTCTGGAGGTCGAGATGGAGAAGGAGGCTCTGGATGTGGTGGAGAGGTTGGTGGGCGACGACGACGAGAGCGTCGAGGCCTGGTACCTGGGCGGCTGGGGGCAGTACATCTCCGGCGAGAAGGTGAAGCAGCAGGTCAAGGAAAAGAAGGCGGAAGCAGACGAGGAGGAGGAAGAGTGGAAGACGCCATGGGCCTCGGCTCGGCGGTGGTTGAGGCAATGCCTGCGTCTGTTCGAGCAGCAGGAGTACGAGGATGACAGGTTAGGCGACCATGCCAAGGAGCTACTAGCTTCCATCGACAAGGAACTCGGGCCCGCCCCAGAAAACGACGACGATGATGATGACGACGATGCCTGGGAAGATGCAAACGATAGCGGCGAGGACGAGGAAATGGCAGGATAGAATGGCGCATGGAAAAGCAAGTCAGTCTTACAACAAATCTCAGAGAGCTGTGCAGAGTCATGCCCGGCTTGAACGACTTTCAGAAAGCATGATGAAACTGTGACCCTTCAATTGCAGGCTCATTATGCCATATTCAACAAGGATATATGATATATATGTACAGGAGGCCTTCAGCCTTTACATATAATATACTCTTCATCTTGGAACACATGCGGCGCAAGCACCCCATGCCCTTTCATCTCTCTTGTTTATTTTTGTTTCGTCAATGTGTTTCACACCAAACAATAGGGGGCGGGGAGATTGTATGGGAGATGCTTGTTCCTCTATGTGGCTTCAACCTTGAGCTTTTCCAGCCCCTGAGAAATACCATCCTCGTCGTCCACTTCTTCCGCATCGGTCTTGCCAGCCAGGCCCCTCTCCCATAGCTGCCTACCAGTGAGCTTGACAGGCTCCTTGACGCGAGCCTTCTTGAGCTCTGCCAGCCTCTCCTCTTCCTCGCGCACTCTATTCTCCTCCATCTCGCGCATGAAAGCGTCGCGCCAGCGTAGGAACGTCTCACGGTTGACGGCAGTACCCTGAAACTTCTTGTTCTCCTCGCGCTCGACCGCCATGGCAGCTTCCTCGCGCACCTTCTCTTGCTCCGCCCTGCGATCGGCAATGAGCTGCTCGGCCGCGTCCTTGAGGGTCGTTACCAGCGAGAAGACCATGGCCATGCCCAGGTTTTCCTGGATCGCCACCTCCAGGGCCTCCATGAGCTGGGTCTTGTCCTCGGACACGGAGAAGGGGAGATCTGGCGAGGAGACAGTATTCGGGGGCGCTTGGATGTCGAGAAATGGCGGCTCGTCCGGGTACGCTTCCGGGTAGCGCACGTAGAGGAGCATGGTCGGAAGGTCGTCGTCTTGTTCCTCTTGGACATCAAGGTCGAGAGTGATCTTTATCCTGAACTCCGTATCGGATATCTCTGGTCGTGAAAGGGTGAGTTACTTAGTCCGTACGTAGTTGCAAAGGTAAGGTTGGGGCCTTATTCATAACACGGCGGATGTATTTGGCTGTGGTCATGGCGGGGTACAAAACCAACCTGTGATTTCATCGGGGAAGATGGACTCGAGCACTTCCCGCTCCTCAATTTGCTCTTCGCGCCCCATTCTGACCCTGGTTATATGTGATGTAGAAACTGTATCAACGGATCGACTGGGGTGGCTTTCAAATGCCTTATATGCTGATATGTTGGCTCGTTATAATTCGGCAGTGAGGGCGCATCTCAAAAAACAACATAGGACGAACAGTTGGAGTTTGGGAGTGGGGTCTCGAGGTACGTACCTTATCGACAAGGCAGTTTATCTTGGTATCAGCCGGTGGGGTGTGGCTCTGCCCAATGAAGTTTAGCGTAAGCCTCACCGCCCGGCAATTGACCAAAAATTCGGATTGTCTGGGAAACATTTTGTTGAAGGGAACTGGACGTCCAGAATTGGATGCGCTCCTGTCCTACTCTCTCGCCATAATCTCACATACACACTCCCTCATAAACAGCCATCTTTTCCCTCAAAATGGCCACGAAAACTACATCATCCGGGAGTAAGAGGAAGGCAGCTCCAACCGGCAAAGGAGCGTCCGCTTCCTCGGCGAAAAAAGCCCGCCTGAACGCACCGAAGAAGACAAAGAAGGTCGAAGTCAGCGGAAACTCGGATGACACAAGCGGCGATGACCTTGACGATCTTAACGAGGGTGACGAGGAGTTTGAAGGGCTCGACGATTCTGATTCGGAGGACGGCGGTGCACCCGTAAAACAGTCCGCACCGCGCAAAGACAGTAAGAAGGCGAATAAGAAACAGGCTGACGGCAAGGAGGTCGTGAAAGGTACGGGCACTCGATCTTTTTCTTTTCTCTTCTCTTAGCATATGTTTATCTGCATCCTGTGCTTTACCTTTCATTTCCACAAAGAATGTTCCTGACAGTCCGCTAGGCCCCGACTCGTCAAAAGAGGCCCATGCCCTGCAGAAGAAGCTCGCGAAAGAACGCAAAGCTGCGAAGCCCCTGGGCGACGAAGTGCAGCGGACTAAAAAGATATGGGAACGGCTGAGGAGAAAGTCGCATGTGCCTTCGGATGAAAGGAAACAACTTGTCGAAGAACTGTTCAGCATCATCACCGGCCGCGTCAAGGATTTCGTGCTCAAGCACGATGCCGTGAGGGTTGTCCAAACGGCGATCAAATACTCCAATACCGCTCAGAGGAAACAGATTACGCAAGAACTCCAAGGCAACTTTTCCCAGCTAGCAGAGAGCCGCTACGCCAAGTTCCTGATCGCGAAGCTTGTTGTGCAGAAGGAAGCCGAGATTCGGGACATGATTATTCCCGACTTATACGGCAGAGTTCGCAGGCTCATCAACCACCCCGAGGCTTCGTGGATCCTGGACGACATCTACCGCCAAGTTGCGACCAAGGAACAGAAGGCAATTCTATTGCGGGAGTGGTATGGCCCTGAGTTTGCCCTCCTCGAGCGCAGCAAGGATGAGACTCCCACGGCCGACCTGGCGTCCATCATCGAGGCTGCGCCCAGCAAGAGGGGCCCGATCATGAAATCTCTCCTGCACATGATCAACTCCCTGGTTCAAAAGCAAATGACCGGCTTCACGATGCTCCATGATGCGATGCTGCAGTGTTTCCTCAACCTCAAGCCTGAATCGGACGAGTACACGGGATTTGTCAACATGATCAAGGATGATGAAACCGGAGACCTTTTGAAAAATATGGCCTTCACGCGTTCGGGCGCTCGCCTTGTTTGTCTTCTGCTTGCGCACGGTTCCTCCAAGGATCGCAGGAACATTCTCAAGGCTTTCAAGGACCATTTCATTCTCATGTCGGGTGACGCCTTCGCCCATATGGTCATTCTCACCGCGTACGACGTCATTGACGACACCAAGATGACTTCCAAGGTCATCTTATCCGAATTGGTGGGCGATGACGAGGAAAAGGCGGCGGAAAATATCATGGCGGCGACCACCAATCAGTATGCCCGAACGGCGTTGATGTATCCCCTCGAGGGCCAGTCAAAGGCTCTCTTCCTTCCCAACATGAACGACGACCGGCAAATTCTGGCCGAGGTACATGAAATTCGTAAGACGACGAGCAAGAAAGACAGCGACCTGCGGAGTGCGGAACTGGCGGCCGCCCTTTCACCGTCGCTTCTGAACACCATCGCCTCCTCGGCGCCCCTGCTCATGGCGGACTCTTTCGGCTGTCATCTGGTCGCCGAAGTCCTTCTTTCCGTGAAAGGCGACAAGCAAAACGCCCTCGAGGCCGTAGCCGCCGTCGCAGAGGGCGACCCGAATGCCGAAGTCGCCGAGGTTCCTGCCTTGGACGGCACTGTCCCAAGCGCGCATGTCTCTCAGACTCCCTGGGGCGGCCGCACTCTCAAGACCTTGATCGCTGGTGGCAAGTTCAACAAGACGACCGGCAAGGTCGAACAGGTAGAGCCGCCGCTGGCATTCGCCAACACGTTGTATCCCGTTCTCAAGGATCACATCGTGGCATGGGCGACGGGCCCTAGCTCTCTAGTGGTTCTTGCCTTGCTCGAAAGCGCAGACTTCAGCCATGGCGACGAGGTGAAGGCCATTCTCAAAAAGAACATCAAGGCTCTGAAGATGGCCGCTACGGAGGAGACACCAGAACAGAAGGCGAAGCAGGAGGCCGAGGAGCAAGACGTTGGCGAGAAGGCCGCGAAGAAGGGAAAGAAAGGGAAGAAAGGTGCCTCGAAGCCGGATCGTCCGGTTGGGAATGCGGGAAGCAGACTGTTGTTGGAGAGGCTGTAAAGGTTGCGCGATATGCTATAGAACACGAGCGGGTCTTGGCTAAAAGTTCTCATGCTATTTGGCACAGTGGCTTCGCAGGGGGGGCCTGAAAGTTTATACCCCTTTTTATTTCAGATGTCTACACGGGCTACTCCTTAGTGAATTAAATGCGGATAACCCAAGCAGAAGATGACGCTGGCGTTCATGAAGTGACTCCGACTCGGTAACTCCCGTGACCCGGTGAACCATCAAGCGGACTCTTGAGTGCGACGGCTAAATCCTCAAGAGTCTGCCTCAAGGGAAGTGCTCAAGTCGTACTCCTTAACCTAGTATATCGGTATGACTCCCTAAGGGGCTCTGGTTCTCGCCGCCTCGTAGAGTAATGCTTTCTTTCCCCTCTCTCCAGACAGGCGCTGAGGAGAAGGAGGTGGGTGAAGCGGTGGTACGGCAGGTAGTTGGCAGGCAGTGCAGGACTGCGATTGTCTTTAAGGCAGTGGCTACCTACCTGGTGGTAGCCCGTAAGTCAGCTGAGAGGGCTATCGGGAAGGAACAAGTCGTAAATTACCACTTGCCAAAAGATCCTCCATTCCAGATACCCACGTAACTGCCCGTCTACCTAAGGTATCCAACCCCTAGGTACTACTTTATATCTAAGGTACTTCGAGGACTCCTGGTTGTCGGGGACCTACTTCTGACTCCTACCTACCTTACCTTACTTTACGCTTGTTAGTCTATCTCGTCAAGCATCAGGTTCCTCAGCCCATGTACTGACTGGCTCCTTCTACTCTCCGTGAGCCTTTCGCTGACTTTATAGCCAAAGGTCTCAGTTAGCCATGGGCTGCTGGTAGGCATCCGGTCCATCCATACTGTGCGCTTTCTCAACCAACCTCCCCCTCCTCCTCTTCCTCCGTCGCACTTCCCTCCGCATACCGCCTATGCCGTGCCTGTTCATGCAAGTGAAAGCCATGGAACCTTACGTTGCAAACGAGCCCAAGCTAACCAAGTCATACCAGAACATTCAGCGTACTCCTCCCATCTCCCAGCCCCTTTTCATCGTACCGTTCTCCTCCTACTCAAAATCTGGCCCATTTCACAATTTTCAGGACCAACACACACCATGAGCGTCAGTATCTTAACCCGGGAGGACGACGACCTGGACTGCGCTCCCGGCCAAAAGCCCTACCGCTGCAAAGACGGCCATTTCAGAGGTTGTTGTTCGGTACATCCATGTGACTGGGACCGTTGCCCCGACCGCAATGTAGAGAAAAGCAAGCGTGACGGCGACATGAATAGCGAAACAACAACATTGACCCCAACCACAATAGCTTCCATCGGTCCACCCGTGCAGTGGACAGGAGAAATTACCACGAGTTCCGGCCCGACTATCACTACGGGCCGAGAAGACATAACGTCACTGACGCTGTCTATCACGACCTCTTTTCCCCAGCAGTCATTATCATCCCCAACACTGGCTGTTACTTCTGTGACCTCGGAGTCCTTAACAGCGAGCCCATCAATCATCGTTTCAACCCCTGAAGCGACGGAAACACCGAGTGAGGGGAATGGTGACGCCAGCCTATCTCCTGGTGCCATGGGGGCCATCTTTGGGGCCGTTACAGCGGCCATGCTCGCCGCCATTGTAGCTTATTTCCTCTGTGGAAAAAGAGGCAAAAAGCTCCGACAATCCATTCGCTTGGGGAGCTGGAAAACCCACGACGACCCACCCCAGGCCAACGACGGCTTTTCACTGTATACGGGCTCTCCTCCCGATAACCACGATCCCAAAGAAGATAGGGACCTCTTTAGTCCAGCCGAAGGTATGTGGCCCAGCGCCAACTTTGTCCATTGCTCGTGCCGTCGGTAGCTTACCACGGAGAAGGCGGCTACGAAGAGCCTCAATCACGTTATACCCGAAGGAGTGCCTTTACCTCCAGTGCGATCAAGAACCGCCCCGTCCACCCCACGTTCTGCGATGATCTGAGCCATGGTCGGATTCCTGGCATGGCGACACGGCCTAGAACAGCCACCCCAGATGTAGCCCGAAACGATGCCGCCACCCCTGAACTACAGGAGTCGCCAAAGCGAGCAGCTATTGTCGAGCTGGCTTCGCCGGGTTTGCCCAGGCTCGTTGAAATTTCGAGAACCCGACCTAGCAGGCAGATTTACCAGGCATACAGTCCAGGCGCCCCGTTGCACCCCGCCTACGACCGTAGAGTAGCGAGCTTGCGAAGCGAGTTGACAGGGGGTCTAGGAGAGCGATATCAGCAGAATCAAACCAACGGCTGGACGCGTTCGAATCCTGAATCTTGAGCCAAAAGTTTTGCTGCTTAACGGAAGGTTGCGGATATATCTGGTCTGTCATGTGTGGTTTCCTGCCCAGAAGCACGGTGAGCGATGGCAAAAGCCGACTTTGGTGGCATAAGCAGTCCCTGTGGGATCTTACTCGCCGGGAGATGGACGGTACATCATTGCGCTTGGCGGGTCATCTTTAGCCAAGGCCATGCGGTTTGACTGCTGGACACTACCCTAGGTCGGGGAGGGGTGCCTTTCCCTAAGCTTACAGGGTCGCCGCCACCTGCGTCACAAGATGTCCCGGTAGTCTAGGGGAAATAGTTAACGTAATAGAGAGACAAGGTATGATGAACTCACAACTCTGATCTAGATCAGGCAACGGAGGCGACACGAAAGCCGACTAAATATATCAAAACGCAACTGGTATTGGGTATTCAACACATAACGAAAACAATTCGTCTAATCCATCCGTAACCGGCCCCCTCCCCCAGCCAACAAAACCGTGATGCGCCGAATAAGCAGTTTTTTCCATTCTCTGTAGGCATAAATCCGTTCGCGGCCGTCCAGTGATCCCCTCAATCCGCGACCTGTTTTTTATATTCCTGATACTGGTGTTCGCAAAGTCATCTATCTGGCTTATGTCCAGATCCCTGTGGAGAGACGCTCAATGGGAGGAGCTGGCATGTATGTTCGTTCTCTCATCCTCAAAAGCACTTGGAGATCCGACGTCGACGCTCTATCCGATCGACATGGAACCCGGTATACCTCGAATTAGCTCGTCACCTGCTCTGAAGCTTGCTGATCTCATCGAGCAGTTCCTGGAGTTCTTCGTCGCCGATCTTGTCTGCAAGGGATGGTATAAGAGTCTTCGCTTCTTCTGCCGTCTCACAGCACAAGGAACCTGTGACGTAGTTTCTCAGCAACCGAACCACTGCGATGCAAGAGAGGCAACGGCCGGAGTGAAAGAGGGAAAGGGGAAGCTTTATGTACCTAACTGGGCACGTTCAAATTTGGCGAGCTGCTTGTGCGCGCTGAGAAGGCGCTCGACAGCCTCAACATTCTCCTTCTGACGAAAGCGTGAAAAGGCATCGAGGTAGTTGAGAGTCTGCGTGAGCATCCTATTATGTTTCCTCCACGTTAGCTCTGGGTGCTTTATCAAAGAAGAAAAAAAGAAAAAAAGTCTCTGATATGAATGAAGCTAGTTGGACCACGGCCTAGCGCGCAGACCCAGTGGAGTTTACGAAAAGGCAACAACGAAGCGCCGCGGGTGTATGCGTACTCGGTCTCGTTGACGTTTTTACGGTCTCCTCTTCTCTTGGCAACTAGTGCGTTGATGACAAGAGATGCTTCCGAAAGGGTGAGAGTATCGACGTTCTGGAATTCTCCGAGGTCAAGGATGTGGTCGGCCCTTTCCTGGCCGGGAGGTGTAGGCTTGGGGCGCGAGGTCGCAGCATGTTTAATGGGCGCTCTCGACATGGTGGATTGGACGCGATTGCTCGGGTTGCGTGTTGCGCACCCAGCCAGCAACTATTGGTACGGAATGAAAATGCGAATTCAGAGGTGGGGGATGTTGTCGTCGCGAGGTTTCGTTCCGGGAAGTGACGCGGTTAGGACGGGCCAAGGATGAGCGCAATGGGCAGCCGTGTGTGATGGATGTCGTTCGAGAGTTGATGGTTGAGGCTGAAGAAAAGCCGTGTCAGGGGTTGCTATTGGCTTGAGACTTTAAGAGAGGAAGGCTCCACTGCATGCGCAGCCATAATAAGGTAGCTACGAAGTAACTCGGTACCTACGAATTACAGCGTAGGCGTTGATGTACTTCCTTCGTAGTGCCAGTTTTACACCAGCTGTCCGCCCCCATCTACGAATAGAGCTCACCGGTGCCTACTATGAAGTTTATCGCAGAGCCCGTTTATCCTGGAGCTTCAATATCTAGACGGGTCTTATCCCCGTATTTCTCCGTTCTTTAATAACATTATCGTGGTTTTTATAGCGGTTACACTTATACAAGGTACACGTATCTTCAAGGTACCTAACATAAACACCTGCGTATAATGGGTGTGATTTTATTAAAGGTCGAACAATGATACGTGTGAAATATGTGTATGTATGTGGATATACGGGTATAGAAGGAAGAATATCCCAGCCCAAAAGGGTAGCGGTTGAGGATATACCCGTCAACAGGTGTGCCTGCAGGGAACCACGCAACAGATTTCAGTGACTAGCCGAGGGTGTATCTTTAGTGATCTTAATTATGTAATAGTGCAGGCTTCCAGGTACAACAGATACCTCCAGTGTCAGCACAGCTAAAGGCGGAGACCTTTCACGACCGCCTAAGTCCAACAGACATCTTGCAAGCGAATTCATATGTCTGAACACAAAGCACCACACAGGAGCATACCTATGTGAGGGCCATGAACGGTTAGCTCAACTAGACCTGATTAACAGATATGTCAGTACTTAAATGTATTATGGGGCCTTCTTAGTAGGATCATCCTCTGACTTGTTTTAAGGACCGTCTTTGCGCTCATCATTATCAATAAGGCTGGGGGCCTCATCCTCAATCGCACCTTTCATGAAGGGGGCCTCAACCAACTCAGTACAAACGACTATCTGGTCCTTGCTGGCACTTTCCATGGGTGAGCTCCAAATTTTGCTTGAAGAGCCCTGCGTGTCCCCACGGCTATTCTGTCCTCCTCTGTCTAACCTTGGCATTTTCGCCGCCCCGGTAGAGTGCACGCTATTACAGCCCGTCTCGACCCCCTGAAGAACCAGATCTCAGCTACGCCTACGGCTCCAGGCGGGATACCGAGTCGGCCAGAACCCCCTTCTGGCCTTGAGGTCATGGAGACGGAGAACTTCCGACTTCAATGCTTCAACACCCTGACAGGAACCAAGTTCCTCCTCTTCACCGACACCACCCAGGTCAACGTCGACGTGACCATGCGGAGGATATACGACTTGTATAGCGACTATGTTATGAAGAACCCCTTTTACCAGACGGAGATGCCGATTCGCTGTGAGACGTTTGACAGGAAGTTGTTGTCGTATATTAGGGAGATCAACAACAACCGGTGAGGACATCATAGCGCGAGACCAGGCCCAGTCAGGCGTTGGCGGAGGCGGAAAGGAAACGGGGTGATTCCAAACTAAACCTCTTTTCTTACACAAACTCATGACAATTGATCTTCGGCGTTGATAGTCCCGCTGTGCGGGAGTTGCGAGTTGAAAGAAAACTCTCGCTGGAAGCACGTTTCGTGCATTAATCGGCGTTGGGGAACTTAAATCATTAAAGCCATCCATTTCCCTGTCTCTGCAAGCCGGAGTGCAACCCCTCGTGCAATTTTCTCCAGAGCTAATTGTTACATCATGTTGTCTCGACCAACCGCGAGTTGCGGAAGCCCGACTGAGCAGGTCTTTCTGAGATGCTCAGCTACGACGTGTCCATCCTGTCGTCGCCTTTCTTATTCTTGTCCTCATCTTGGTTTCCAGTGTCGCCACTGCCACTCGGCTCGCCGTCCTTATTCAAAAGGGGAGCAGACTCCCCGTTCTCCTTAATGTCCTCGAGGGATGCCTTCTGGGCCGCCTCGGCGTCCTCGCGTGCCTTCTTCTCTTGCCTCGCCTTCTCCTCCTCCATACTCATGCGTAGCGCCAAAGCAAGCTCGGGGTCGAGAGCCGGGTCGAAATCGAGGCCGCCAAAGTCACCGCCCTCGCCGGCACCAGCCGCACCGGCACTGCCGGCAGCTTCTGCGGCGCCCTCGCCCAGCAATATCGGAGACGAGATAATCTGATCGCTCAAGAGGTTGCCGCTCGGGGGGATGACGACTAGATGCGATCCCTCGCTGCCCTTCACGTTCTCGTTGAACGCCTGTAGCTTCTTCTGGGTGTCGCCATCATCGAGCTCGCCGAAAAGCACGAAATCCACAGAGACATTGCCCTTCTTCATCTTCTTTGCGAGTTGGACCAGCTTCTTCTCTTCCTCCTCGACGGGTGAGCAGACGAAGACAATTATCCGTTGCCGCTGGGACTTGTTCTGGCGATGCTTGAGAGCCAACTTTATGAGAAGAAAAAGACAAGTTAGCGCGCGAGAAGCTTTGATGGGGGGGAGGGAAGGGGGAAATTCGATGGCGACGGGAAGAGGAAAGCGAGAGGTGGCAATCGAGAGTATATACGTACGCCGGCGACCTGGATGCCGGTGGCAAGATGCGACGACCCTCCAATCTTGTTCTTTGTTCGATGCAAGCCCTCCAGAATCTTGCCCTGCTCCGTTGTGAGAGTCACGAGGACCTCGGGGCCCTTTCCCCCCATGCTCATAAGCCCGACAGAAGACTCCGGATTGCTGCGAGTAATTTGTTGGAAGATCACAGTTGCCGCATCGGCTTGGGAGTCGAATCGAGTGGGTTGGTAGTCTCCATTTCTGCTGCTCTCGCTGTTGTCCACGACAACCATCACCGCTTCCAGAACCATCTTGGGCAAGCGCTTTTGATGGTCGGTTTGAAAGTCGCTCGTTGTACTGGTCGCAAGAGAAAAGCAGCTACGTGCAGGGACTTGTGACCTCGTTAGAACTCTTACTGGGTGGTATCTGACGAGCGTGGATCGACGAGTTGTGTGTAGGTAGGTAGGGGAGTGCTTCGGATGATGGTGATGCGTTCAGAAGGACGAAGTGCAGATGTAATTGAGAGGTACGTCGTAATTAGGTGGTAGCCTCAGACAGGCAGGCACGACCAACGAGGTGAGCTCCAAGGTTGCTCTTACTGGTAGACTAACAAGGTCCACACTTTATTAGGCCGAGAAAGTACGTACCACCGAAACATGAAGTGACAAGAGCTATAGAGTCACGTGATAGACCCACTACTAGAATGTAGATACCTACAATGCAGCCAATAGACATTCTCACGCAGATTCAGCAAAGATATCCGTATTTGGCTCCGGGACGACCTGAAGGGGGGCGTTATGTAAGCTGACCTCACAGTGGTTTGTTTACTTTAATCCAGGTGTTGACCCACCCAACCATGAAGCTGCAACCATCAACAGCAGCCTCATATCTACGGGGTTTCCTCAAAGTGACATCTTCCGTGTTCTATTGTGCTCCTACACACACAGCTGCGCGCTCTCTGAAACCTCACCATATTCTGAGGTCTCTCGGCATATACATATCAAAACTCGAGATGGCGCCCGTACGCACAAAGAAACGTGTTTCGAGAGCGTCTCCGGCACCGCGCTCTCCAGCAGCAGCGGAAAATCACTTCATACCAACCAAAACCGGCACGCCCACACGGAAGAGTCCGTTGAAGCAGAGGAGAGGGATTACTCTTGAGCAAAAACAGGCTATAATAGAGAATCTGCAACTGGAGAGTGGGTGCTTGATTTCCCACTTAACCGTGTCGTCCCGGGAGGTCTGTTAACCCAAGCCTAGTTACGGACCGTGCAAGGAGGTTAAGGGCCCAATACCACGCGCGAGCCCAGAGTCTACGGACACGAGTGGAAATGCGCGTTAATCGCGTGCCAAGGTCCCTTCTTCGCGTCACCATGGAAGATTTGGTAGCCAAATGCGTTGAGGACCAGAAGAGAAGACTTCTCGCAACATCGCGGCCACCCCCTGTACCAGAGAAAGACCTCCCTCGGCGAACTAGTCCCGTGAAGGCTTCTCACGCCTTGCAGGGCTCCCCGAGATCGCGCAAGCGCCTCAGGTTTGTTTCTCCCAGCACAAGCTACTGGTGTAGTGATGCGCAGCTGACGACGTTGTAGCGACGCGATAACAAGTGGGGACAAGGAAAACCAGGCCAACGAGATGGATTATCCTAAGAAGAAACACCGGACGGGACCTATGATCCCCTCATCCTTGGCCGGAACCGGCCAAGTTCTCTCTCCTACGTCGACCAATGTCCGGCAGGCGATTCGCGACCGACCGCCTCCTTCTCCTTCAAAGACACAGATTTCCAGGCCAGCCTCGCCGCTGAAAGCGCCTACTACGGCCCGTGCGGCATTGGCGAGCGTGGTGGAGAAAGCCAAGACAACACGTCCTATCGGCATGAGAAAGGCGACGACATCGTCGACCACCAGCTCCGTCGCAACGACGTCCACTACTGCGAAACGGACGAGGAGAGCCGCGGCGCCCTCCTCTTCTAAGCCACCGACGTCACGACCCGCGACACGTACGGGACGGCGAGCCAGCGTGTCTAGTGATGGGAGCACTTCAACGGTTGTGAAGAAAGCGGGGACGGCATCGAAAGTCGCGTCGGCTGCTACAAGAGCCGCGACGGGGACCGTACGAAAGGCTGGCACGGGAAGTACCGCAACGAAGACTACCGCGGCGGCGGCTGCCAAAAAGTCCACCGCGGCATCTGCATCCGGGTCTACGCGCGTTCTGCGAAAGAGAGGATAGAAAAGGACAGCATAGAAGAGGGGCCCCCTCGCCAAGACTAGGAGCCGGAAAAGCCACTATTGTTTTGGGGCTGCTGTGGGAAGTAGAGTTCGGAAACGGAGGAGGATTCATCCGTGTGGGCAGCTTTTTCTTGACGGCGTTACATTCGGGACTGGGACTGGGACTGGGACTGGCACACAGGGAGGCACGGAAATGTGACATGACAGATTTTGTCCGCGGGAGCTTCTCTCGGGATATACAAGGCCGAATGGAACCAATTCTAGATGGTAGCGATTCGTTGGGCGAGGCCCCTGCAGTCGTCACCATTTCCCCATATTTCCCCCAGGCGAGATTGTGATTTCAATCAACCTGCCGCCCCCGCCGCCGCCGCCGCCGCCTTCTTCTTCTTCTTGTCGTCCACCAACTCGATATTGTCCTCGGGTATCTCCTTGTACTTCTCCAACAAGAACTCTTCAATTTCGTCGCTGACGTCGCCCTGCACGACGATCTCCTCCCCGCCGCTGGGGGTTTTGGTCACGGAAGACCCTGTCGCGAACTTCTTTCCGAGGTCCTTGGCGACTTTCTTCAATTCCAGACCGAAGGCCTCGAGGCCGATGACGGCGGTGACGAATTTCTTCTTGTTGCGCTCGATCCTCTTGATGACGATATGGCTGTTGGCCAGCTTGTCGGCTTGCTTGGCCTCTGCGGCTTGCGCCTTGGCGGCTTTCTTCTGCGCGTCTTTGGCGGCGCGCTTCTGGGCTTCAACGGAGAGAGAGGCCGTTGCGGCCTCTAGGGCTTCTACAGATAGGAGGTCAGAATCCTTTCGTCTTCGTGTTGTGTGCCGGTTCCTTTTGCTTTTTGACCTCGTCGGTGGGACAGACAGGGTCGGGGGAAGGGTGTTAGATCGAACCTGGTGACCAGATGGTGTCATAGAGGGCGGGCTCGTTCTTTTGAAGCCAGTCCTGGCACTTTTTCACCGTACCGCCATATTCGCAATACTATTCATTGGTGTATTCGAGTTAGAAAAGCTGGGTGTCTAGCTGGCATGCTATGAGCCGGAAAACGGGGGAAAATAATAGTCCAATTTCAAATATATTGGGCCATACCTCTGGGGGAAGGCTGCACACTGGGGACAGATGGTTCTGGTCAGCACTCTTGGACACTCAGCGTTGAGGGGTGAAAGCAAGGAGGTAGGTGTATGAATCGTCCACTCACCGCCGCAGTAAGTGACACGACGACTCTGGGGTTCGGTTACGATCTCCTGTCGCTGCGTCTCGGCCATCATGTATAAAGTGTAAAGGAATAGGTCGAAGGGTTTGCTATGAAAACCCGACGGGAAAGAAGGGGGGATGCCGTCGGTGATGCGTGGCGTGCCCCTCTTGCTCCTGGTCCCGTTTCTTGTTCTTTCATTGCGGGGTCCTGTGCAATTGATGGAGGGGCAGCACGGAACTTGGACGCTAGCTACCTTAGCTACAGTAGGCCTTATGTAAGGTAGAGTGGCTTGGACCAACTAAACGGTCGCCGTTGCTGGCGCAGGTATACCGTGCTGGTGATTACATAAGGTAAACAATCAATACATGTACTCTGTTACCTACCTCCCCGTCTTAGTCATGACGGAATCAATTCCCCCCTCCCTCCCCTCCTCCACACCAACAGCCTGTTCACCATTCACCATCCATCACATCCCGTTGAACTGAAGACATTCATGGCGGCAAGGCCACGTTTTCTTCTTATGTCTGGTCTCGATCATGGGCCGATACATCTTGCATCCTCGGAACCATGGATTAAGCCACCGCCTTCAGCCTCCACCGCTGGTTGAAGGGCCGAGCACCCGATAAATTCAAGAGCCATCGCCATTGAACCGACCGATACTACGAAGTATGAACCCATCCATCTCGAGCTGCGTCGTTTCCTGGCACTCCGTATCGGGTATTCCCTTTCCCCAGCCAAGCCGATGGCTGCCGCTTCTGGCCCATGAGATGAGGCGAGGATTGAAGAGTCATTGGGTCCTTGACCCAACCAGCTTCTTCCCACCCAATCGACGAACGGAATGGCGGGTTGGCACAGGCGTTGGGCTTTTTAAGCGCCGACTTCACGCTCTCGCGGCCCATCATTGGATGTTGGGTATGCAACCAATACCAGCCTGGCAACCACACATCGTCCGTATGCCGCATATCCTCCCCAGTACGGATACGCTTCTTCTACCATTCCTCTTCGCGCGCGCCAGCCAATTGCTCATCCCGTCCTCTTCCAAAATTAGAAATGTGGTGCTTGTCTTGATTGGCCCTTTTGCGTTCTACCCTCTTTCCGCTTCCTGGGAAGGGGTACAAACGTACGAAGAACAAGGCGAGATGATCCCCCAATCCTTGGCGGTGCCGGTCAACCGACAGCACGAGAATGCCGTGCCGTCACATCGCTGCCCCGAGCCTTGCCTTGCATCACTTGATCGCTCATGTCCAGTCAAAGGTCACCAGAGCCGCTGCCCGTCTTGTCCGGCGTCTCTCCGATGCCACCCTGTCCCGTCCGGATCGCACAGGAACAATGCATTACAAGACGACCAAACTCCCTCCTATTTTCCTTTTGGCTACCCGGTGGTTTGGTCTGGTCACCTTCACTTTTCTTCCTCTCCTTCCCTCGGGTTGTCTTTCTGTATTTTCTTGAACGCTTCGTCGACCGAAGCAGCCTGTCGTTAAAGGGCTATTTTTTCTTTCTTGGTCCTTTTTGTTTGTTTGGGGGGGCTTCTTCTTCCCCTGGACCTAGAGCGCCGTGCGTCCTCGTCGTGGTATCGCCACTGGTTGGCATCTTCTTAATTTCCATTATATTCTCGTCGACCTTACGTTCTTCGTTTCACTGCCATCTAGGGTTTATTCATCATCATGGCTGAGCTGGTTCTTCTGCCGTCGTCGACTTATCGACCCCCCTCGCCTCCGCTGGCTCGGAGACCGGGGAAGTTACTTAATACCATAATTGAAGAAGAATCCGAGGAAGAGAGTGGCATCCGTCACCGCCACGGCATACAGCAGCAGCAGCAGCAGCAGCAGCTCTCGAACACGGCGGGTGGTCGAAATGGCCAGAAGCTTCGTCCTCGAACCGACATGCACATCGAAGCATGGCTGTCACCCATGAGCGACCATTTTCCTACCCCCAGGGGATTCCACTACCTGGCTGCGCCTATTCTGCCGTCTTCCCCGTCCACCGGATCCACGGACGGTCCGCCTTCTCCGTCACAAACCTCGAACCAATGGAACTACCGGTCAAGCGTCATGACCGACGTGACAGAGTTTGACGACTTGTACGGCCTCAGCGATGAAGAGGAGCCGCTGGGGCCGCTGGGGCCGCTGGGGCGAACGCCGTCCAGGAAGTCTTCGCACAAGAGGAAAGGTGCGACTGGGGCGGTCACGCCCGCATCTCATGCTCGGGGGAATCTGCCGCAGCTCGTCATTCCCAATACACGTAACGGCCCGACCGAGGAATGGTCCGCGACGTCGGCGAGGTCTGCTGGTCTCAAGAAGCTAACTTCCCCCATTCCGCCAACCCCTCCCACCCGAGTAGAAATGTCGCCTCAGGTTTTTTCCTTCATGCAGGCTCGCCAGGCCCAGGAGGTCCCAACTCTCTCTGCTCCCCCATCCTTGGACGGTAGTCTGGACGGAAGTCTGAGTTCGGAGCAGATGGCCCAAATGTCGGCCCCGCCCACGCCAGTCATCGGCAATGACGACAATGTACAGGAGGACGGCTGGTCCGGTGTTCAGCTCCAGCCCGGTGCACTGGCAACCCTGCAAGCTCTCTCGGGGGAGAGCGACAGCGGCAGCATGACCGCACACGAACAGGAGGGGCCAGAGCAAGTACTCGAAGTCGAAGTTCCTTCTGAGCCGATCCCAGAGATGCGCCAGCAGCCACTTCGCATCTTCACCGGCCTCCACTTCCAGGCACCTCGCACTGCAGAGTTGACGCCGGCATCGCAGCACCGCTCCCTCGCCGACCTGACAAGGCTCGAGATCCCTTCTCCTGGCGGCTTCTTCTTGGGCCTTTCGCCTCGTACGAGGAGCACCTGGCACATGCTTAGCAAGAGCCCCGAGGAACTGGCACCGCCCACTTCGACAACCGCCGAGCAGTTCTACCGCTGTCCCTGGAACGCGGAGACCTCGGCCCCGCCCGTTCCTCGCATCCCCTCGGCCCTCGCCTTGCCGACAAGGCTTGCTGCCAACGACAACATGGCCGAGCAGTTCTACCGCGGCGTCGCTGCCTCGTCGTCACCGGTCGAACAGGTCGTGGAAGTCAAGGATGAGGACGACATTGAGGACGACATGCCCACTGCACGGCCTCCCCAGGTGCCGAGCACGGCCAGTGCCTCGGATTCGTTCACCGTCGCTGTGGAACCCGTGTCTCCGGAGGTGGAGGTGGAGGAGGAAGCACCAACGGAGATCGTCACCGTCTATGACCCTGACTACGCTCGTAAGCAGCAGGAAGTTGCGCTGTCGAATCTCGACCGCACAGAGATGTGGCTCATGGCACAACGATCGTACCTGAAGCCTGTCGAGATCGAGGAGAAGGAAGGAAGCCATCAGGGACTCCCCGCCATCCCCGAAGACACCGAGGAGGAAGAGGAGGAGGAGGAAAGGGAAAGCAAGACATCCGGGACGGAACTCGAAGTCCCAATGCTGCCGAGGAAGAAGACAGTTCGCTTCTCTTCCATCGTCACCACCACCCGCGCCCCCTGCCGCCTGCCTTCTAAGCTTCTCAGGCAGGAGTCGGCATATTACCGCGCGTTTCAGGACTATATCATCCGCAAAGGGTCCCTCGACGTCTTCGTTCATCGGCTCCCTCGCTTCGAGGCCCTTCAGGCCCAAAGGATCTCTCTCCCCGAATACCATCGCAACCAGCTCATGGGCAAGTACCAGCTGAGCGTGGTGCCCCAATCGGCGAAGAAGCGACTCAGCGCCAACGTGGCCCGGGGTGACGACATTCTCCTCGATGATCCCGAAAAGCTTCGCCAAGAGAAGGAACAAGAGGCCATGAGCCAAATAGCCATGTCTACCTGGCACGTGGCCGCCAACAAAATGCTCAACGGTGGCCGTCTCATCTCGTCGCCCGTCGCCAAGCGTCTCGCACACGCCTCACGCATGGCTCCGGGGAAGAACGGTGTTGCTCGCGATCGCGCACGCATCCTTGACCTGGGAGGTCAGTCGACCTGCGACTGGGGATGGCACTGCGCGCTTCAGTTTCCGAACACCAAGATCTACACGGTGACGACCAAGGCCATCCGCCAGCTGTCCAACTCCAACATCCGCGGCCCGCCGAACCACCGCCAGGTTGCCGTCGAACGTCTGACGCGCCTGCCCTTCGCCGACGCCCAGTTCGATCTCATCTCGGCCCGCGAGCTGCATTCGATCCTCAAGTTCGTCGGCGAGAACGGCGAGGACGAGTGGGAGAGCTGTCTGCGCGAGTGCATGCGCGTCCTCAAGCCGGGAGGCTACCTCGAGTTCTCCCTCCTCGACTCGGACATCGTGAACGCGGGCCCGCTCGGCCTTGCCAAGAGCGTCGAGCTCGGGTTTACTCTCAAGACGCTGGGCTACGACCCGTGCCCGACCAAGATGTGGCTCGGCCGCCTCGCCCGCGCCGGTTTCGACGAGGTCCGCCGTGCGTGGATGTACCTCCCCATGGGCGAACGGCGGCCGGCTTCTTCCCCCACGACTACGTCCGGAGCTGCCAAGCCGCTCCCTGCCCTGCCGAGGGGCCTCCCCACGCCCCCGCCGTCCGACGGCGAGGGCCCACGGACAGTAACCCTGGAGGCCATGGTTACGGGGAGCAGTGATGCCACCACCACTGGGAGCAGCGATGCCGCGGCGAGCATCACGGGCCTCGCCGCGAGTTGGGTTTGGGAGCGGTGGCTCCTGCGGTGTGAGATGGAGAAGTTGGCCGGCGAGTTGAGACTGACAGACATCGTCACGACGGGCCGCGCCATGACTGAGGCGGGGAAGTGTCTCGATGGTGTGGCGGCTATTGTCGAGGAGGGGCGGACGTGTGGCGCTGGATGGAGGGTGTTGAACGGTTACGCGAGGAAGCCCAAGGTTGGATCGGGGGTCATCCCCGTCCACATGGATGCGTGAGGCTGAGGAATTGAAGCCGGGGTGTTG